ATGCGTCGATGCCGTGCTCGACCTGCATTATCATACGCGCGGCCTGGGTGTCGGACTGACAGGGCAACGACTTGATCCAGCTGGCCCAGATTGATAGCTTTGTTATTTTGCTGATATTGGTGTCGGTGATGCCTGCTACCAGGTACTGTAGTGGTACTGGATGAGACTTGTCTACATCAGGTACCTAGCGCTCAGGCGACAACAACCAAGTACCGAAAGGGATGAGTCGGGCTTGGTCCGACACTGGATCCAGAATCCATGCTGCCCTTCTTGTTGTACTCCACCAGTCCACAGCCGCGAGGGTCCACTACGCGGAAATGGATGCCCATCTCCACTCTACACTCTACACTCTAGCTCTAGCTCTAGCTCTAGCTCTAGCTCTCCATAGTTCTCCATAGCTCTACAGTTAGTTACCCGTCAGGTGGAACATGTACTGTTGTCATGAACAAAGGAATGTGGGTGGATAGAACACACATTATTCTGTGAAAGCGTCTACCCAAGAGAATCTGTCATTTCTGGCTGGGATGTTGCGTCAGGATGGGCGGAGAGGGAGCCCAAATCAGGACGTGATCCAACTATGATCAACCTAGGTCCTAGTGAACCAGAGACGTAGCCTGGTCGGAACAGATTAACAAGGCTACAATTAGTCCAGTACTGTGAATCGAGGTACTACTGTAGTATGTACGAGTCTAATCTCACTTGCACATGTCGAGGGATCGACTGGACGGCATAGGCGTTCCATCACGTGCGATCAGTCCAGGTATCTCCTGGGTCACTACGGGTCCGTCGGGTAGTATGTACACTTGTACAGTACTATGGAGTATGGACTATGTAGCTGTAGGTTCCTTGGTCGTTGAGCTTGCAGGAGAGATGATACAGTTGCCCCTACTCGCAGTTAGACCAGGCACTATTGAGATACATCTCGTCGAATGCATGATCTGTCTCGGTCTCGGTCAATTGATCTCCAAGAGGAATTCCATCCATCGCTGCCCCGCCTGCCAACGAGCCGATCAAAGACCGTCCACTCCAGATTGTGTGTAGTGTGTACGCTGTCGGCCTGTGGTCCAAACCCATGTCTATCTTCCGTGGAACGGATAATGATGTCCATGAGCCCTTGTTGTTGATCTCCACTGTAACCACTAAACGAGTGAGGAAGTACGCAGTACGCACTGGGTAGTCAGCGTACATGACACTACATAGGGTGACAGCGATCATAAGCCCACCTGCTGCATCCCCGGGGGGAGAGGGGGTGCTAGCTCGACGGATCTGAGATTATGAACCACCTAATTACCCTAATTTAGCGACGTGGAGCCAGGCTGAAGTCGGTGAATCGGAGGCCAACACGGGCGAACACCAGGCCTTGAAAGAAAAGGCTGTCGACAGGGTTGAGTGGTTCCAGCGTCGGTCGAGCTTTCATGCAAGATTTCCATGGACTCCTTGTACGATTGTACAATTGTACTCCTCCCCCTTGTCAGTGATCGAGATCCCCAGTGGCCGACGAGAGGCTGATAATATTTCCGGCTCATCTGGCGATTGTCATTGGTGATGTGGAGAAGGACTCCGTTCGGTCAGACTGAGGCGAACTCGAAGGATCTTCGGGCGCTGGTTGGGTGAGGGCGTGCGGCCCATGCCCGGTTTTTGTCTTTGGGGTGGTTTTGCGCCGTGGACTTCATGTACAGAGCAAACATTTCCAAACCGAAGATGTATGGTGAAGGTTAAATATCGACTGTCAGAGCTCAGGTGCAATGAAAAATAGGGGAAAAAACAAAAGGTCCAAAGGCAAGAAGTAAATTGAGAAGAAAAGAGCAATGATATTCTTCGTATGGATCGGATGGAATGGATCTGGTCAAACGTACACAAGAGAGGGTCCTGTCCTGCCCTGCTCTTACAGTGACGGCCCACTGAGATGCCCACTGCCAGTGTCCAGTGTGCCGGCTCCGAGTACTGAGTACGTTGGCGGTACTTCCTTTCAGGCTTAAGATGAAGTATACTATCGTGGTCAATTCAGTCCCTACTGTCTCTACTCTTTACTCTCGAGACCCCATTGCTTGCATCATACCGGGATTAACTTTGATTTTGTCCCCATTTCCTTGCCCAGATTTTGATTTTGATTTTGTTATTTTTGTAAAAAAAAAAAAAAAAAAAGAATTTCCCTTAAATGCTTGTATGAACTACAGAGTATTCCCACTGTGAACCCCCCCCCTGCCTACCTCATATAAAGACTCTGCTGCCAACTCGTGACTTGAAGGTTGACAACTTTCAAACGGTCAACTGACGACATTCTCTTGTATCCTGCCGTGCCTGTCTTGAAGATTGACTATTTACAAGCCGAGACCTATTGTGTTTTTCAACACCATCTTCAGAGTTTCCCCTCGACTATCCCTCTCTTTGTTCTGGATGCAGCACCTGCTGTGAAGCAACAACTCCGTTCGCACCCATCGGCATCGAGTATTTGTTCTCGAACTACGCCTCAGCCGAGAGTTCAACGCAACCAAACCTACCTGACTCGAGCGACCTACCCATTCGCTCAAAAAGCTTTGGATCAACCGTTAACCCTTTTCTTCACACCACAAATCACCCACAATGGACTCCGTCAAAACAAACGGCGTCACACAGCCGTCTACGTCCCCAAGCCGCTTACCAGCGTGGAAGAATACCAACGGAAATGGGCCCAACTCATGGACGATACCGCAAAGCAAATCCAAAAGATTCGAGGTCCGTTTTACCCTATCCACTCCCGAACCGGTTTGACATCTGATTTATCATATGCAAACCTTGATTCAGGGAGCTTAAAAAGCTGACGGTGTGATTCCTTTTTTTCCCTTTGCCATGCGAACAGATGAAGAAGAAGCCCGGAAGTCTAGCCCGACTGTGGATCGATAATAGCCGAGTCCGCCCTTGCGCGCGCCGGCCACCATTTTCAAGCGATGGATAGGGCCTGTCTCGAGGGGCTTGGAGATCTCGTTGATCCATTCTCGAAAGTTTTTAAATTTTTTTTCTGGTGGACTTGTTCTTAACCAAGCAGTGTCATCTATTGACCATTGTGGTTTGCTCTATTTTTGTTTTGGCTCGATGGATGAACTCTTTACGCACGACGCATGGACTTGGAGTCTTTTTGGAGAATTCATGTTGACCTATACCGACTTTCTTCACTGGGGCCGCTTCCCACTTTTTTTTTTTGTTGAGCTCTATCTCTTTCTCTGTTTGTTTTCCTTCCGTGGCCGGACTTACTGTGCCTTTTGCCTTATCTCCTCTGCTTATAGACTTTGTGCTTGTGACTGGTTACCTTTTTTGAACTTGAAGACTTTGGCATGCAGTATGCATTTCATCTTGTCGCATCGGTGGAGCGTGGTTCGCGATCTGAGAATTCCAATTTGTTCTGATTTCTGTTGATTTTTGATAGACCTGTGGTGTTCCCAACATCGGACTTGTAGCAATGCTCGAGAATCCATACTCGGCCCATGTTGACTTATCACCCGGGAAAATACAGCAAGACTTGTCCCCAGGTAAGTCGTCACTCAAGGACAGTGAAATCTTCTCGCTCTTGTTACCTGTGTGGTCCGGGTGCGGGCTTGTAAACTATCGGTTAAATGACCGCTCCGTTGGCAGATGGGAGAGTGTACATGACATTTCTCGTTCGCTAAGTCTACTAACAATTCCACCGTCCCTGATCACAGTCTACCCTCAGTCAGGCAAAAAGGAGACTTCTAGAAGGTATTGCCTGACTCGCAACATTGAATGAATGCGCACATATCAAAACTGAGTCCGACCCATACTACAATGCGACAAGGAATCCCCATCCCTGGCGGAACGACTTTTCCACGCCCTGGCCCAGTTTCGAATCTCACCGGATCGCTGTTCCTGTTCCTGTTTTTTTTTCCCTCTTTGCAGCATCTCCCGTCCCTCCTTTCTGTTCTATAGATAACACGGCATGATATGATTTCGTCGGGGATCTTACTACGGTACAATGACCATTGTTCTAGGCTCATTGGCTCCTGCTCTCTTCGGTATAGGTGTGGGTTTGGCTCTCTTTGCCGGAGTAAAAAAGAGCGTTGAACATTCCTAACCTCATATTCCGGGCCGGTCAGCCCATTGCTTGTCAATCGTGCAGGAGCGGCTCGTGGAATCAATTCCGTGGCTTTAGAAGCAAATTCCAAACTCCGACCTTCACCTGTGAGTATAGGTTACCTGCCCGGGTGCCGATGACGCATATAGGTTTCGAGTTGATTCGCTGCTTAGAAGTGAGTCCCGTTTGCCTGACCTGGAACGACACGAGCATGGCTTGCGTGTGTGAGGTGTTTCTCAGGTACATGGAGCAGGGTATCCAACTAGGTCATTGGTACTCGGCAGGGATGTCCGATCTGCTGCGGATCTAAGTGGTTGATATCTTCGATTTGCATGGATGCGCTCATCGGCCGAGTCAATGACACTTCTTGGCTTTTTGGCTTTGTACATGAAACATTTCGGTGTAAATGGAGAGATACTGCGTGACGATGGTTCACGGTTCCTTTCTACATTAGAACTAGGTCTAGGTATTAGAACTCAACTGTACTCTATGACTCACCTATAGCAGTCACAAATGGCATGGATTTTGTTTATAAATACATGAATTTCTAATGATAGTAGCAGTTACTTAGTAGTGATTACTGGTGATTCAGCTACTCCAGTACTAAGCAGACTAGGCTCCAGCCTCGAGCCGCTTTGACAGACTCGGCTTCGAGTCATATCGCGTGAAGATCTGCGAGTCACAACACAGCAATCACTAGCGCTACTGTACGCTCAAAGCACTAGACTGACATCACGAGCGCTCATGCACGATCGTCTCTCTCTTTCTGCCCTTTTTTCTCTCTGTCTGTCTTTTGCTTTTTCCTTTTCCCCTTCCATCTGACAGCATTCCCCGCCGTGGCTAATCCGTCTCACCAAGACAGAAACGAGCTCACTCCGTGTCGATCCCAACCCTTGGATCTGTGTTGCGTGACCAAAGGTGCATGGATCCATCCTCATCGATCGTCTATCGCGCGAGACCAATCAAGCCCTGACTCTGACTGATCATGGATCCCACGGTGACGGGTGTGGGGTGGCGGCAGCGGACGACGGACGACGGGGGTAACAGAGGCAGCGCAGCTAAGCTCTCGCTCTCTCGTCTCTGGAAGGTCTTGGTGATAATGCCCACCGGTGAATCCTCGGAGGTATGCTTCCAAGGCGTGGGCGCGGGCGTTCATGCAAGGGGGGTCCATGGGGGTTCGAAGAGGCGGAAGTTGGATGAAACACGCGTATAGCGCGGCTATGGAGAATTTGTTTCCCTGGGAGGACTTGGTCATCTTGGACTGGTGGAGTGCATTTCCATTTCCAGACGGGGATAGCTGGTAGAGGATGGCTGGGATGACTTGTTTAGGAGTGAGACTATGGAGAGTGCCTGACCTACCTACCCACCTGCTTAGAGGGGGAGGATTACAGAGTGAAATTGGAGAGATCGTAAGTAGGTACTTCTTCCAGAGACGGGCCTTCCACATGTCAAGTTGTACTGAAGTACTGTACTCGTAGTCTCGTACTGCTAGTACACCTAGGAACGTGAACGAAGCAAAGAAATCGATTCTGTCGCGTGCCCTCGATCCTTTCGATTGCTCTCGGTCCATTGAACTTTGCACTTTGCAGTATTACCGACCCTTCATTATATGATGAGTGTCGCTGTCTTGTCTAGCGGTAAGCGTGTCTAGCGGTAAGTAAGCAAGATCACTCGTGGCAAGCCAGGTTCCTCTCAAGTTCATCATGTACGTCCAAAGAGGCAAGTAGTTGGAAACTTGGCACCTGCACGTGCATCTTGAGACAACATTTGGATTGACTGCCTACTAGTAGTTTATGTGATGTTATGTAATGCAGAGTCTCGTCCTACTAATTATGGATGCTTCAGGTACAGCTAGAGGACTACAAGAATAAGCTCCGAGGGTCAACCTTCTCCGCTACTTTGAAGCTCTGGCCCCACTACCACTTTTTCTTGGCCCGCACTTTCGTCACTTGCCGCCTCTCATGAACCTTTCAGTTTGATCTGCAACTCCTGTACTGCACAGCTGCAGATCCAATCTTCCCCTGTCCGCCTCTCTTTCCCTGCAAAGCTCTCTCAAGGCGTCTGACCACCACCATGGCCGCCTCGTCTCTCGAACAAGACCCCTCCCCCGCCGACATCGCTCGCCGCGATCAGGAAGAGAAAGATCGCAAGGCCCGCGAAGCAGCAGAGCAAGCCCAGCTCCCCTACCAATGGACGCAAACGATTCGTGACGTCGACATTACTGCGCCCATCCCTGCCAATATCAAGGGTCGTGATATGGATGTCTCTTTGACCAAGACGAAGATCCGAGTCGCCATCAAGGGCCAGGAGCCAATCATCGAGGTATGACTGCACTGACACGGGACCCACGACGAGCATCTGCCTCTCTGGCGCATTCCTTGCGGTAGCTTCCCAAATGGAAATTGTTCAGGCGGGGCAAAGGCGTTTCATTCGAATCCTCAGAATGATTTCACTAACGTGTGCATTCCTCCTCTGTCAGGGTGACCTCCCCCACGCCATTCTGGTTGACGAATCCTCGTGGACGCTGGAAACCACGTCCAAGCCTCCCGGAAAGGAGGTGAGCATTCACCTTGACAAGGCAAATAAGATGGAATGGTGGGCACACGTGGTCAAGACCGCACCCAAGATCGATGTGTCCAAGATCACTCCCGAAAACTCCAGCCTGAGTGATCTGGATGGGGAGACCCGCGCCATGGTCGAGAAGATGATGTATGATCAGCGACAGAAGGAGATGGGTGCGCCAACGAGTGATGAGCAGAAGAAGATGGATATGTTGAAGAAATTCCAGGAGCAGCATCCCGGTAAGTGTTGGTCAATTGTTTGCCACTCTCATCCTTACATTGTTCTACGATGACTAACCTGCCTTTTGTTCCGCCGTTATAGAGATGGATTTTTCCAACGCAAAGATGGGCTGAAGCAGCATCGGGGCTATCGAGTCTGTTTATCCGCAAGCGAGTCTTCTCAAATGAAAGCAGCACACATTCTTGTATGAAGTATGAGTGATGTATCAGTAGGGGCTGTTGATCGTCCCCAGTCAATGAATGATGAATTACAGAAGTATCAAAAAGCAAGGTCGCGTGTGCCCTTCACGTCTGATTTGTGGAGGATGCATTTCGGGCCGAACTCGGGCAAGGAGAACCGTCGACTTCAAATACATCTCGATATTGAATCATCGAACCCCGAATCACGAATCCCCAAAAGACATCCTCTAATCGTACCCAGTATCTCTACCCCCTCCATTCTTCACAACGCACAGAGGCTTCGCACGGGTATTCCACACACAGAGCATCCGATTCCAATGAACTCGCCAGCGTCCGAGTGCGTAGAAAGGTTGACTTGGCTTTACAGTGATATTGATGATAGCCCGTCGTTCAAATACCTTTGAAGGTTGACCTAGGTTTGAAAGCGAGCAAGTGAGCCCACTTCAAAGGCAGATTGGACGTCCAATTTTAGATATAGGCACCCCCACAGCATAAGATGATGGTGTACGGCTGCTTCAGTTGCAAAGTCGGTATTCAGCTGCGTACCACTTCTAATACGTATTACCAAATGTGCCATGGACCCGCTTGATGCAAAAGGCTCATGTTTCTCAGACTTCCATTGATCTATCTGCACGGGCTGTACTTATATAGGAAGACTGGCACAAATGGGAAGATCAATGATGACCAGTGAAGAAGACGTCTATTCAAATCCGCGATAATGAAAATACTGATCACCGGCCAGCATCCATTCATTCACAACAGGCTTCATTCAACGACAATCATTCGAGGAATGAGAATGGGACCTTGGCTCAATACTAAGAATCTTCTATTGTGAACATGAGAGTACAACATAGTCATGAGTAGGCTTTCTCATGTTCTGACGCCCGCAGAATAGTCTTCGAAGCACCAGCAGGTTGTGCTAGGCTGGCCTCCAGACCCATCTCAGATCAATTTGTTTGCTTCCACACGAAAGAGTAGTAAACAGAAATTCTTGGGGGAAAAGCTCAAGCACACTCCTGGTCTTGAACCCAGGACCTTCGTTCTACCACGGTACTTTCTCCTCAAGTCACTCTGATGCTCGAATACCTTTGTTTGCATGCTCGGAATACCTTCACTCCCGGACAGTATCTCGCCCAGTACTAGAGCCCTCCATTCAACTCTCCAACAATCTCTTGGACTGTCTTTGGATACTGAACTTTTTTATATCATCGAGCTCTCTGAAGATCAGTCTAGAAAGTGAAAAGCCGTCATATCATCAACCAGCCTTATACGAAAACTATGAAAAGTAAAAGAAAAAAAATTGTCCACAACTGATGCGTCCACCAAGTTGTATAGGCCCACCCACCCAGCCAGCCAGCCCATGGTGCCGAGGTACCTGTGGCCAAGTAGGTACCTGAGATATGTCCTGCCCAGACTGGCTATGTACATGTAAGAAAGGGACAACAGGACAGCGAGAGAAACCCTCCGTCGAGGGTCCCTCCCACTTCACCATGTGGGACTGGCTGCTTGAATAGGTATCCCATTAACTACATCATAAACGAGCAAACAACATTTCTCGCCGTACGTGGATCCAACCATCCCCGCTCCCTCACTCTCTCAAGGCACTTTCGATACATCGACCAAGCTGTCTCATAGCCATGCCTGGGTGACCCGTTGAAGTGCAACACAAGCCGTTGAGTCTTTATCCATGGGCTACCCATGTTGTCGGGTAGAAGAATAGAAATCAGAATCAACGAGTTCTTGAGATAGATACTGTGAAGGGTGTTGTACTTCTGTCTCCCCATCTCATCCACGATAGATTTTGGTTCTTTTTCTTGGTGATCTATAGACAATTCATCGGCTGGGACGCGTACACTGGCTGGGTGTCCACGATGGAGCTGATGAAGTTTGGATTCTGCATACCTACGGGAAAGTAGAACACTACCTACATGTATGACAAGAAATACGATGCTTGCTGTAACATGTGATTATGAACTTGAGGTGCCTCGCAGTTGCAAGTGAGAACACTCTGTCCAGGATGTGTCTCATCCATCCCAGTCTATAGCCGTCTGGATAGAATGGTCCTCGGATCAGTAGGTATTATAGGTCTCGATGGTATTCGCTGACTTTTAGTCTTTTTGATATCCTCTGTGACCGACATGGCGCATCAATGTCCACTACAGACGCTCTGTGAGACAGCCTTCCACCTTGTCAATTCTACCATGCTACCCCGTGCCCAATGCTGGATCGTCCCTAATATATCTATCGATTGCTCGAGACCAATCTTAGATATCAAAACCTCCAAGTCCACGTCGATCTTAATCTGGATGTTGAATCAAAGGCTCTGCAAGAGCCCAGGATGAATGTATGATCTTAAGACTAGTCTTGAGTATGCCATTCAATGTAATTTTGATATCTAGATTTGCCTCAAAGCAGGCAAGAGCTACATCAATCTACGGCTCCCGTCCTTTCTCAACTTGTACACACTCGTTCGGAGTTGCGTAGTTCGCTGGAATATAATCTCCAGTCTAGAAGAAAAACAAAACAAAAACCCCGAACCAAAGCAAAATGAAGTTCAATAGCCTATCATGACCGATTAGAATCTAGAATACCGGCAGATTTTCGGCTTCTCTTACTCAATCCGCTCAAGTGGGACAAGCCCCAAGTTCGCCACCTGTTCGGACTTAAGTGGAGACGTTCCTCCGATGCGGCTCTTGTGGATTGACTGCCTCAGGCTTGCAACGCGACCAGCACGCCGAATCCTCCCGGCCCCGCCCTCATCTTTCCCATCGTCCACCAATCGTGACCGGAAGAACAATCTGGATGCCTGCGCACTGCGGCAGACAGCAGTGGCTTTGCGACATTGCGTAAAGCAGGCCACGAGTCCTCGTGTCCACCAGGTCCCCCTCTTCGTTTTCTTCACCATCTCCAGACACTCATCCGTCGTATTGACTCGCTGCTTCTGTTGTCTTCTTTCTGGTGTGGGTAGTTCTGTTGACGGTTGCTGCCTTTGTCTTCCGGCGTGGCTCTCTACTCCAGAGGCTGCTGCACTGCGACATTCGGAGCGGGAGCCAAGCAAGCAGACCCATACATACTGACTGCTCCACAATCAATCCAGGTCTTCTTCTGCCGATGATTCGGTATTTTCCAGCAAAGGGAGTTTCGAATCCAGGCTTCATTTCAGAGAACGAGCCAGCTATACGTCAGCCGTCAGCCTGGCCTCGAAACGTGGCACTGAGTCATTACGTTGACGTTACACGAGCTTTTCATTCGCTGCAGACAACTTCTTCGTTGAGCAACTTGAAGAAGACTTTGGATCGCATACCTGTGTCTCACCAATCATGTCTTTTCTGGCCGGGCTTTGCAGTTGCTTTTCCAGCGGAGATGTCCAGCCACAAGTGGCTCTGTCTCGTCCCGAGATGCAAATGCGATCCTCATCAAATGTGACGCCCAGCGGTGTTCAAACGGGGAGCTACACCTACAATGACCGTGGCGAGGTTGTCCGCATAGAGAATCCTCTGGCACGCAGACTCGGGCACGGCCCTTCTCGCAGTGACCTGGACTCGGGCGGTTATGCCAGTGTGGTTCCCCTGCCGCAGTATACACCACGTCCGATGAGCGTTCATGAAAAGACGCTCGAGGCGCATTTACGCGATGCTCCCGTGTCCTCGGACTCGAGCTCTGTCTATCAAGACGAGAAGCGTCGTCAGGCATATGAGGACGAAGCCACCTCCGACGACTCCTCTGTCTTTTCGTACCCCAGCAGTTTTGGCAATACTTCCACCGCCACGAGGGAGACGCCACCACCTCCATATTCGCCTCGCGGCTCAATGATGATAGGCCGGTCACGAACAGCATCAATCTCATCAACAATGGATGTCACTGTTCGCCCTCCGCCGCTGGCTCGGCTTCATGGAGCGTGTATCACGGCTGTGCCGTCCGAGGCTGACGATCAGTCCATCCGGCGTCATCGCAGAGGCTCATGGCAGAGTCGGTGACGGGGTTACCACCGACGACCATCTGTAGGCCACATGCGATTGAAAAGATAACTGGCCCATGCGCCAGGACACGGCCGACGATTAGTGGCGCGCATTCAATGAATCGGGCGCTTTTTCTCCGACCATGAACATCTGTTTCGGGTCTTCTGCAATGCCGTATATATGACGTGACGTTTATATTCATTTGGAGTTTCGACATTTACTTACCATTTCTTGTTGCTGAACATTCTACGTAAAGCACCACGAGGCGTTTTTGGGCGTTGATGATTTGTATGTGGCTCTTTTGTGAATAGCATCATCTGTGGTGTTACTGCCCACTACATAATCTACTTAATACATCCACGCAACCCGTTGCAGGGTTGTGAGTGAAGAGCACATGTGGAGTTTGAACAACTATTGAATCAAGCATTGAGCTTAGAGTGATATGGTGGCAATTTTGTATTCTTTATCACCAAACGGAGTCACTAACTGTGACGGATTTCCAAAGCCATTGAATGTTTCACGTCGCACACGAACTCTAATTTATTCATGCTCGAAGGTATGGAACTCGTAGCTGTAATGGCATATCTAGATAAATCGTAGACCAAGCTTCAGGTCCGATGAGGGTTGAATTGAAGGTTCGCTCCGTTGCAACACAGGACCAAGTGAATAGCACAGCAAACGGAGAAGTTCAAGAACTCGTTTCCAAGTGTCAGGTTTGAATCCGAGTTTCTTCAATAGTCTTTGAGTCATGACTCCATGAGTATATACATGACATTACAATTCTGTGATCACCTTCTCCCTCCAAGACAGTGCTTCCTCATGTCGACCTTTTAGAACACAGCCTTGTTTCCTAGGGTTCACCAGTTGACGAACCCTCTTGTTTCGGCCGGGCGGCTCGGCGGACCTCAATGATGACCTGACATAATCAGGTACGCCGCGGGTGCCGGCGGCCCACTCGACGCCCGCCAATGAACCATGCATTCCACTTTTTTTCTTTTTTTTTGAGTCTAAATTTCCTTTTTTTCTATCAAGTCTCGGAGATTGTCTTGCCCCTCACTCCACTACAATTTTTCATGATTGACTGCACTCTGCTACTTCTATTTTCACGACTCACAGCAGCACAAACATGGCCCAAGACGACGAGGTTCACGAAGCTGTGCGCAATGCGCAACCACTACAGCAACCCCCGCAACGGCCACAAGACCCCTCAAACAACATGAAGCGAGTCGATCCCTTCCAGTTCGGATCACGGTACCTCGAACAAGGCGACGACGTCTTCGAGTTCAATGCCTGGGACCATGTCGAGCCCGACGACGAGTTCAAGGCTTTTGCCGAAGCGCAATACGAAAAGCAGCGTGCCGCGCCCGTCTCCGAATTCGACCAGAATCGCTTCAACAACGACCCTGCCAAGTGGTGGAACAACTTCTACAAGAATAACACGGCCAACTTCTTCAAGGACCGCAAGTGGCTGCGTCAGGAATTCCCGGTGCTAGCGGATGTTTCGCGCAAGGATGCCGGCCCCAAGGTCGTACTGGAGGTTGGCGCTGGCGCGGGCAATACAGCTTTCCCGTTGATTCGGCACAATGAGAATGAGGAGCTGAAGGTACACGCCTGCGACTTTTCAAAATACGCGGTGCAGGTGATGCGGGAGAGCGACGAGTACAATACCAAGTACATGGTTGCCGATGTCTGGGATGTCGCTGCTGTGCCGACCGAGAGCGAGGATTCCCTGCCACCCGGCTTGAGCGAGGGATCGGTGGACGTCGTCGTGCTCATTTTCATCTTTTCCGCCTTGAATCCCGACCAGTGGAGTCGTGCGATACACAACATCTGGCGTGTGCTCAAACCCGGTGGTTGCGTGCTCTTCCGTGACTATGGCCGTGGTGATTTGGCGCAGGTGCGCTTCAAGAAGGGTCGGTATATGTCGGAGAACTTTTACGTCCGTGGAGACGGCACTCGCGTCTATTTCTTCGACCAGGAGCAATTGCGACAGATGTGGAGCCGTTGGACTCCCGAGAAGGGAGTCCAGGTGGACATGGAGGCCCAGTCGGATTCAATTCCTGCTGAGCCCAGCGCGCCGTTTGAGGTCAAGCACTTGGGCGTTGATCGCAGACTGTTGGTCAACCGTTCAAGTAAACTGAAGATGTACCGCTGCTGGATGCAGGCCAAGTTCGAGAAGCGCTCGGACTCTGTCACCTCTGCTCCAGTGGCTAAAGAAGACTCTTGAAATGGTGAAATGACTGCAAAAGCAATCAATGGTGCCCAATGATCTACGGGGGGGGGGGAGGAGCCCCTGCAACACCTTGCGCCATCAACCTGAACAGGTCAATCAACGACCAGAAACGAAGATAATTTCACACATAACGCCACTGTCGGCTGGGCCCCGGCTTGTCGCTCTTGCGCAGCTTTAGCAGGTCATGGCCACGCCTCAGAGAATCATACAGCAGCGCGACTGTACACCCCGGAACCACTCAATCGGCGGTTGAACAGTCTTCTGGAAGAATGGACCCACGATACCCATGACGCACTTTTAAAACATGTAGTCGAAATCTTGCCAAGGCAGGCATACATTTCTTTCATCGCCTTCGTTGATTTGCTCAGGTTTGAGTGCGAGGTCTTTGAATCTTCAGTTCATCTTCATAGACTACTCACTGCCATGACGACGAATGACAATATCCTACGAAAGATCATTAAAAATCCAGGAGCTTAGTGTGAAGCAGTATGAAAGAGGCAGCCATTCTCGGCGGCAAAAAAAGGGTGCCTCGCTCGGGAGAGACAGTGGTTGTGATAGAATGTGTGTACAGTCAATTGTTGACAACAGACTCTGAACACGATTGGAGCGAATCATCCTATATCCAAACAAGAGAATTTAGCAAGGGGGTGCCTCGATCAGAAGAGACAATGATTGCGGTGGAATGTATGTACAGTCAATTGTCGACAACAGACTCTGAACACGATTGGAGCGAATCAACATTTATCCAAACAAGAGAATCTAGCAAGGCCGTGGTACAATATCACCACGAGGAGAAGCAGCAGGGAAACGAAAACTGGGAACGAGAAAAAGAAAAAAGCCTCAAACGTTTAAGTTGCCCGATTCCAGTTGCCATAAGCCTTATGGGCTGGCAACTGCAGAATCTGCAAGACCTTGGGAAACAAAATGGTCGCCCTCCAAGGCAAGAAAGGAAGGGGCTCGAAAGAAAAGCAGCATAAAATGAAACGCTATGGATGCATCTGGATCAGGCCCCTGCTGGTGAAGGGTAATGGATGTCTATAAGATCTCGTCGACAGGGGGGAAAGAAAAGACATGGTCACATGGCGAAGCAAAAAGGGATCTGGTATGTCTCAAGAGCAGACGTGAGACACACACACATCCCGGCCGCTCATCATCATCTGACGAGATGGCAAAGGAAAGTCTGAAGGTGTCAAGTCGCCACGAAGGTTGACTTGTGTTCAAGACGTCAGGTTCGGACATTCGCCCTGGGCACGCTGGAACGCATTGGAGAAGAGATCCTGCATGGCACAGTAGTGGAACAGAATGCCACCCAGGACAGCTAGATGCCAAATGTTGTGACTTCCACCGAAATAGTCGAAAAGACCCGGCTTCCAACGCTCGGGCACCTTCGACGCGTACACAAGGGCACCTACGAAGTAGACCATGACGCTCTTCACAACCGGAGCATAGAAATACATGCACCACTCGAATCCACGCGTGTAGGAGAGTTGGGCGAGAGGGGCGAAGCCGGTAAGAGCAAGGGTGACATAAAAGGCGACGCGGGCCCAAGCCATGTCATGGCGATTGAAGGTGGGATGCCATGGGAGGATGATGCCGCCAATGCCCAGACACATAGTCAGCAGAATATAGGTCCAGCGAGACGTTGGTTCGCAGTAGAAAGCCGTGTATTCGGTGGACACGATCGACGCGGCCACCAACAAAGAGATTCCGGTGTAATCAACGCAGGCGAACCGCTCCATCAGCGATTGCGAGGCAATGCTGTTCATCGTGTGCCAGATGGTGCTGCAGACCAGACACTTGCAGGCGGCGAAGAAAAAGACTGCGGCGATCATAATGTCGGCTTTGGAACTCGAGTGAAAATTGGTATGAAGCGGGTAGAAGTAGAACGCGATGGAGAGAACCAGAATCAAACCGATGAGATGAGACCAAATGTTGACGAACTCATTCGAGAAGGAGAAAACAGAGTGGACGCATTCCACCTTGGACTCGGTGAAGCGATAGCCTTTCAGAATGTGCGGGTTGACCCTCCAGGGGTCTGGCAAGTCGGCATATGTGATCAAGCGGTCTTCCTGAGCGAGACGAACCGCCTTCTCGATGCTTTCCCGTAAAGCGTCACGAGCTCGGCGTGCCCGTTCCATTCCTTCGTCCACAATTTCTCGGGCGTGACCCAACTTTGTGTCCATGGCTTTCCACCCATCGTCGAGAGTGCCGTAGATGCCTCGGTCGTGAACAGCGTGGACTCGCGCCTCGAGCTCGGTAAGGAAAGACTCCATCAGTCTCACTCCCGCCTGCGCCTTCTGTTCTAAGGTCTCCTTTGTTGCCAGAGCCTCCATGTACCGATCCTCCAGGGCCTCCACGAGGATCTTAGCCCGTTTCTTGCCGCTGCCCATCAGTTCACCGGACGCAAGGGAGCACTGATCACGGACGGCTTCCAAAGTCGAATATCCTCGGTGGAGACTGGTGTCGATGTGATCCATGTGAGACTTGCGGTATTGCTCAATCCATGACATGCGGCGCTCGAGTTCGGCCAGGAAAAGCTCCACCTGTAAACATTGTCAGATCGGAGAAAAGATCCGGAGATATTGCTAACGAGTTTCCTCCGCTTACCCGAATGAACACCGTGTCGGAATCTTGGTAGTCGCAGGATAATTTACGCGGAGCATGGTATGAGTGCCTCCGACGGCGATCTCGCAGGAGAGCAGTATCCTCCGCGGGTGTGGCCGCGGAGGAAGAGAATCCCTCCGCAGAAGCTTCCATGGTGACGGACGACGTGGAACACGCCATTGAAACAAAGAACCCGCAGCAGCAACGGAGGAGTTAATTGTTCAGACCAGAAAAATTCACCTGTGCCCTTACGATGACCTTTCGTAACGAGCGGTGGTGGTTGTGGTCCTCCAGCGCAGTGGGGCTGAATAGTCCGGGGGGTTGGGATTGGGGTGAGATGGGGTGTTGGGAGAAGGATGGATTATAGATCGAGCGGCCGGTGATCAAGAACGAAGATCACCCTACCACGAATATATGGGCACGTCTGTTGAAACCGGGAAGAACAGACGGACCTATGTACACAACATGGACAAACAGAGGGAAGAAAAGAGAAAGCAGGGGAGTGAAGGTGGGGGGGCAAAAGAAGGAAGGATGAGAGAGCGAGATCAAAAGTCCCAAAGAGAGTCAACGCCTGTCTTGAGCGAGGCCTAAGGCCAAAAAGAGTTTAAACTGACCCTTGGCTGACTCGCCGAAGAGAGACGCGGGCAAACTCACCAGTTGGCGTCGGGCAGGTGCAACCAAAGTGTGGAGGGCACGGCCATTTGCCTTTCGTCAGCGCCCAAAATCCTCTCAGTCGATCTTCTTCCGGGCTTGGGCCAGCCAACGTGACGTTTGGCTCTCCCAACCACCAGCCGCTCAGTCCTCACATGCGAAGACCCGCGCCCTGATTGATTCGACTTGACTCCATACGCGTTGGGTTTGCCTTTACCGGTGCTTCTTCGTCTCCACTTGCACACTCACAGACTAGCACGACGGCCTCTTCCCCCCGTCATCCTCGTGAACCACTCCGGTCAATTTGATTTGGTCATTACGGTCGGAGACCCTCCTCGCGCGCTATCAAAGCGTCAATCCAGTCCCGGACGCATTTTGCCACCTGTGACAGCCCGCTCTCCTTCCAGTTCCCCTCCTTCCTTCCTCCATTCGTTGAGACCATGGCTATCGGTGAACTCGTCACCGACGACTCGTTGTTGCCCGTGCTCGGCACCAGCGCCGAAACACTGGCGCAATGCCAGCAGTTGATCGCTCTGCTGAACCCCGACCAGGTGCCGACCGAGTCCGCCGGTCTCCAAGAGCTGTCGCTGGCAGTATCGAAGCAGCAGAAGATCCTGTTTGCGCGACTTGCGCAGCTGCGTGGACAAAATCGCGATGCGATCTTTCGGGTGCGTGACACCAAGCACGCCACTGCCGAGGCTCGTCAGGAGATCGACCGACTCCATCTCCAATTACAAAATCTGTACTACGAGCAGAAACACCTAATGGGCGAGATCGCCGCCTGTGAATCATATGAGTGAGTTCAGTCAATCCTTGACGAGCATACCTCGGACATCTGAGAGAATTGGTCTAATCCGCGGCTATTTGTCCTTCATCATAGTCACAAGTACCTCGCCCTCCCGCTGATCCCCGTGGAGGAATTCCTCGAGCTCTTTCCCGAACACCGCGAGTCCAGTGAACATGATCTCATGGTTGCGCGCATCAACCACGAACACAGTGAACGCGAAAAACTCGAGCAAGCTCGACAGGAGCTCCTCAAACGCAAGCAAGCTTTGATCGCAGAGAACAAGAAGCGCAAGGACGACCTGGCCAGTTTGGACAAGGATTTGGAGAAATTCATTGATGTGAGTATAGCATTTGTCTCGTGTCGATCCACCGCTCCAAGCTACGTACTCGGTTCACTAACATTAGGTCATTCTCAGGCTGCCAAACCGATTCAGAAGCTTTTCGAGAAGGAATATTGAATCGTCCTTGTCGGCAACACTCGCAGGCTTTGGGACAGTACGATATCATTGGGCTGGCGTTTTAGAATTCATTACTTAGATACCCTCTTCAAATACGTTCATGATGGCGCAACAACCTCTCTCATCCGCATTCTGTCCATTATAGTTATAGCAGTTATAATCTAATTCTTCATGACATTGAAGGACAGACCACAGCCTGAGCAATCTGTACACAAACCACCTTAGTTTACTCGCCGCTCTCGATTATAAGCTCGAGTAACGCGACCTCATGTAGAAGATTTTCTTTTGCGAACATCGAAATTTGCTAATCTCGCTCATCGGCCGATTCTGTACACTTTTAATGCGGAGAAGCGATTCGCTGCTCCGGCGGAGACCACCTTTCAGCGCGGGTTCCTCCCCTACTCCGCCTTCATCACCTCCCAACCTTCGCAGCTTCGCAGCAGCGATATCCCAAAACTAGCATTTGTTTTGGACAGCGCAGTCGGGGGTTGCAAATTATGTCGCAATCATGACGGATAAATTTGAAGACCACGAGTCTCGCCACAGTTCAACTTCCTTGAAATCCGTCGACAATGCCGACAATCAAAATAGCGCTCAACGCGTGCCACCCCCCGAGACCCCCGAGGCCATACAGACCCGATTCCGAGTGATTGCCGCATTCTGGGCTGTGATCATCTTTCTAGGTTTTCCAATTTGGTGGAAAACAACGTCAATATACCGGGCTCATCTGCCTATTCAGGAGATGACTGAATGGTCTGAAGGAAAGGTGAGTGTGCTGATGGAGAGATGAGGGTTCAACGCGCGTCTAGAATGCCAATTCTGTGAAACCAATGCAGATCTGTCGTCCAGTCTTTCCTCTTGAAATTCAAATCGCAGCGCCCGCACTGCAAATGACTGAATCCCAACATCTTGTGCGAACGACGCAACATGCACTCGACGATCTGAATGAGTTTGCTGCTCACCATCTTCGCCTCAAGCTGGCAAATGCCACGGATCTTTCAGATAATGGTGCTTCAATGTTAAGTGGACAGAACACGGGCGACGGAGCCGACACGGCATTGACTGTTCGTGTGTTGTCCGAAGACGGCCTGTCTACTCCCAGATCGGAATTGCATGCCGAGACAACGCAGCTAGATATCTTCTATCCGCCCAGTCAGGTGCCGGTCCCGTCTTCTTCGAATCCTGCGTTGTCTGTGTTCATTGCAGAAGAATTGCAGCGCCTATACAGTGAGGAAAAGGCCACCATTGCCTACATCCTCTCGGGCGGTACATCGGGCCCTGACGCGGAAAGCATCAGCCGCCGATTACGTCGGTCTATGAAATATGCCGACACGTACCATCTTTCATTTTCCTTGTTCACCCCCGGCGCGGCGCCGACCTCTTGGGACATCGAAGCTGCTATTCAAGAGTACCTGGCACCTCTGCTCTTCGCATTCACGCCAATCAGCAACTTCACCATCGACACTCAGGTCCAGATGTATGCGACCTTTTCGCCCATGGCTCCACCACCACTTTTCGATGAGGTAGAGTCAGCGTGGACCCTGAAGAAGGAGGATCTCAGTGCTTTCATCAATGCCGCCGAATGGCCTCTGAATCCCAGCATTGGAAATGGGCCCACGCTGAATTTCGTTCTATACGTACCGGATCCGTCTCAGTCACCCATGGTGGTCAAGGAAAACCGCGCCTCCAGCTGGATCATACCCCAGTGGGGTGGCGTCTTCCTTCTCAATCCCCCTCTGGAGACGACCGACTCAAGCGGTAGCCGAACCAACCCGGCACACCTGTCGCAGGACTCTCTCCGCCCAGCATTCATGACCTTCTCTCACCAGCTTCTGACGCTTTTAGGCACGCCTGCCACCCCGAGCTCACTGCCTCTGAGATTGCAGTCAATGATCCGTGTTCGTGCGGCCGCATTACTCTTGTCCGCTTCCTCGACCATGGGCTCCCTCGCACGTCTTACCGAATCCCTGCCTTCCATCCCAATCCCGGCCACTGTAGCTGCTTCTGTGGCCAAAACACTCTCTCAGCTGTCGGCGACATGTTCACATCTGCGAGAGGGGCGTTTCGGCGCCGCTCTAGCTAGTGCTCGTATTGCCGAATCCGAGGCCGAGCGGAGCTTCTTTGAGAAGAGTATGGTTGGCCAGGTCTATTTCCCGGATGAGCACAAGGTTGCCGTGTATCTTCCATTGCTGGGCCCCGTTGGCGTTCCGCTGATTGTCGGCTTGATGAAGGAGGTGAAGCGACTTGTCGCAGCGTGGAAAGCGAGGAGGCTATCCAAGGCATAGATTCCTTATGCGAGTCTCGGGAAATGATGTGTTATTATATCCATTCGCAACGGCGTACAATTGCATTAATTTAAGTCATGAGCATCATCTAAAGTGAGACCTAAAGAAAATGATATAGATGAAGTCTGGTCTATATGCTGAGTCGAATCAAGGCTGGCAGCTCGAAGGTATAGTGAAGCAGTTTATCAATATTAGTAGTATGATATACATGATGAGAAAATCTTGGAAGAGTAAAAGATCGGTTTTACGACGAGACTAGACCCTAGACCTCGGTATGTCGAATGTCGAATCATGAGTCCGATCCGTGACTAGCCAGTAGCCACTCAGAGTTTCACATCCGTAAACTTATGAGCAGCCTCGCCCTTTGAACTACCAAGCCCAACCGCCTGAACAAGGTCCGAAAACGTGGTATCCGGACGCGCGATGCCCCCCGGATACGGCTCGGGTCCGAGGAACTTGCGCGACTGCGAGAAAGCACCCGGTGGCGAGTAAACCTTGATACTCTCCGTGCTAGGCTCGCGTCGACGGGGCGGGGCTACTGGGAACCGGCCCTGCAGCTGTGGGACAGGAGGAATCTCTTTCTCGGAGGGACGTGTCTGGCCAGAGAAGAGACTTCGAACGCGAGATCCAGTGCGTGAGAGCATGGACCGGCTGCTGATTGATGAGCGTCCCCCGGCTGAGGAGCGTAGGAGGAAGTCGGTTCGATAGGAGTTGTCTTCGTTTGGAATGGGGCCGGAGATGCCCAGGACTGCGCCGGAGGAAGAACGCTGGGACCAGTGGATGCCTGATTTAGGATCATATCTTTGGAGATTCTTTTTCTCGGCTCGACGTCGAAGACAGATTGTGACGAGAAGGCAGAGCACGGCGCCGAAAATGGCACCGGGGAAGAATCCTGCGATGATGGCGTTGGTTGGAAAATCGTTGCATACTTGGGCGACCGCGGCAGTGGTAGAGTTGGACGAGGTGGCCCCAGTTGAGGAGGGCGAGACCACAGGCGCAAGAACTGGCGTGATGGTCACTGAACTGCTTTCTGTGGCCGTTAAGCTAGTGGCCGAGGTTGTGTCTGAGGCTTTGGACGTCGCAGTGTGCGAAGTATCCTTGATCAGAGCACAGAGACTGCCACTCTGACAGGTGTATCCCAGGGGACAGCACGCTGTGCCACACGTGGAGAGAGTAGCGTTAAGATTGGTGGTCTTGATTGGATTTTTGGGGTGAGAGCTCGCGTCTTGTGCTCCTATGTTGCATACAATGGGGGAAATGTAGTCGCAACTGGCTCCAGCTGGACAGCAAATGGCCGAGCTTCCGCTGTCGAGACTGATGCAGGTAGACGTGGAGGGACAGCAGAAGTTGTCTGGAAGGCCGTCGCCACATGTGTTGTAGGAGTCTGGGCATGAACCTGAGCTTCGGGTGAAAAGGCTAGCATGATCTGTTGATATGCCATAGCTTGACTGTATCTTGCTCAGGAGGTTTAGAAGAAGCAACAACGTGGTCCGTCTGATAATCAGCTCCATGGCGGACGTCGCCCAGATCTTCCACGGATACCGAGTTGCAATGAATTAGAAGGTTGCTGAAGCTGGTCAGAGCCTATGAGAGAGAACTCAAAAAGAAAGGTTCGATTGGTTCAGAGAGAAGGTGGTCAAGTGTTGGAAAAAGATGCTGCACGAAATGATGCCAGAGGTATAGGAAGGAGAGAATATCATGGCAGGGACTAGAAAAGATGAGTGTAGGCAGACAGCCCCGTACCAGGCTGACACACACATAAGCCTTGTGTCGATTGTGTTCAGTCCTTTGGTAAATGAGACAAAGCACGTCACAATGTGCTCAAAGCCATTCATCCCAGAGGTGCTGCCTTCAAAGGCAGCTGTTTCTATTCATGGTTCCTTGTACGCGCCGGGGGCCTTCAATAACGACCACCGACGCGTTTCAGGATGAGCTGCATAGCTCTGGATATGCATCCATACCGGCGCTAAGCCCCATCCTCATCTTGCAGAAACCAGCCAACCTCGATCCCGACGACCAAGTCCAAAACACGCAGTGGTGATCCGTCGATGAACGGGCGCTTAAGTTGATGAAAGAGCTGGCCGGCCATAGTACATCGAGCGCCGTTGATTGGTCCCATTATGTCAGCAGTGCTATTCCCGATCGGGCAATGCGTCGGCAGGGAAATTATTCTTCATTTGGCTGTTATCGCGGCAGCTGGATTCACCATTTCTTAGGACAATCTCCCAAATCCTCCACTCACACATCATGTTCCGCCGACTCATGAGGCCGAGCGCCCTGCGCGCGGCGTCATACCAGGTCAGTCTCGCCCGAGGATGATCAATGAGGAGGGCATGACCCGCCAAGTTGGAGTCGACATGCGCGTGCGGAACAACAGACTGATCATGCCGTCCGTGTCTAGACACCTGCCTCCGCTCTGCGATTCCAGACCCGCGCCCTGCACCGAATCCCTCAATTGCAGCATGATGCTTACTATAAGGAGAATGGTGTTCCGGAGTTCATGTCGCCCGAGGCTTTCGACTTTGCCTGGACTCAATATCAGACTCTCCTCGTTGACAAGCTCAACCTCTTGACGCAAGGTTAGCTTCAATCCCGCCTGCTGGGGTTGCCATCGCTTCAATGAACTGAAGGTTGAGCAACGAGCAATGCTCCAGAAGCTGTCATGCTGACCATTATGCAGACACCGTCGATGCGGACGCTAAACCCGGAGAGTTGCTGGTCAAGTACTCCAAGCGCCCGGAGATGGCTTCGGTCTTCAACTACGCCTCCATGGCTCACAACAACCACTTTTTCTTCAATTGTCTTGTCAGTAACTTTTGCAGTAAATTGATCGATATGCCCTCCCCCCAGCTGACCGACTTTCACCGCACAGTCTCCCACCACCACCAAGATCCCCGAGAAGTTCGCCAAAGACATTGTTGATACCTGTTCCTCCGTCGAGTCCTTGAAGATGGATTTCCTGGCCACTGCCAATGCCATGTTCGGCCCCGGTTTTGTCTGGTTGGCTAAGAACCTCGAGCGCGAGGGTCTCATGCAGATCTTCTGCACCTATAACGCCGGCTCGCCCTACCCAGCCGCCCACTCCCGAAGACAGCCCGTGGATATGGCCACACACTCCCCGGATGCGCCTCTCGGTAACCAGTTCGCTGGCTCCATGGGTGCCCACTCTCAAAACCAGAAGAGCCTTGCACCCGGCGCTATCGACGTGCAGCCTATTCTCTGCGTAAACACCTGGGAGCACGCTTGGATGATGGACTATGGAATTGCTGGCAAGGAGGAGTACCTTGAGCGGTGGTGGGACCGAATTAACTGGGATGTGGTGTTTGACAACTACAACGCCGTCAGCTCAGTAAAGGGTGCCCGCAACTCGGTCACCCGGGACCGCAGTCTGAGCATGCTCTAAACCCATAGCGGGATGAACAAAAGATGGTCGTCATGTTTGAATAATTTTGTACTATATACACTCATATTTCCCTTTTTTTTCACTCTGTCTCGCCGTCTACTTGTCCATTCGTGACGCATCACCTCCCAGCATATTCAGTGCTATGAAGCGATCCTCGAGCAGTACTTCCAGGCATCCTGCGTGATATTTAAATTCAGTTCCGCCGTCTATAGAAGATGACTATGAGTACATGTTCCATGCCAGATTCAGTTTTTCCATAATGTACAATCAACCAGACACAGTCCAGTTCTGGCCTCCCATGGCTGTCAGACCGCGCCTGGGCTCATATGAATATCTCTATTGACCCTGTGTATGAGTCTCCCTGATCCGTTTCTCAAACGCCTCGATCATGATACTAGCCATCTGGCCCTCGACAGCCCCCATGATCTTGGCATGCATCTGATTGCGAAACTCGAACTGCACTTCCAGCGTCACCTTGGTCTGCGGTCCACCCGGCGCCTCAACCGGAGCCAGCGGCGCCAACTTCCACTGCGTCGACAGATACTCAAAGAGGCCCTCGTTCGCTCCGGGAAAGAACCCACTCAGCCCGGACGAGGATGCAGAGGATGATCTGGCCTTTGACGCGCCCTCTTCGTTGCCAAACCGAGCCCCGCTCTTTGCCTCGACGATCCAATTTTCCGGGTCGCAATTCACCCGCGACGTGAACGTCTCACTCAAAGGCCCATATCCCACGGTCAGGTAGGCTTGCGTCGGGTAGCCGGTTTCAGGGTCGCGTATTGTCACGGTGGACTCGTTGAGAAAGGGGAGGAATTGCGAGTATGATTCGACCGAGGAGATCACTTTGAAGAGTAGCGCTGGCGAGTAGGGTAAGGTACGGGTGGCTGTGAGGACGCGCTTGGGGGAGTCATTGTTGCCGTTTGGCGAAGAGGGAAGAAATGATGAGAGTGAGGGGAGTCCGAATGAGCGTGCTGTTGTATACGTATACGTTGGGTTGGGTGCTTTCCACCGAGCAATATTGCGTGGTTGGGGTAAACTTGTGAGTGATCGTGCCGAGGGCTGATCGCGAATCGAACAAGAACCGGCTTTAACCCCGGACTGGGCTCTCGTGGAGGAGAGAAGGGTGCGACATGATAGTCGCTGGTAACAGAGGGATCGCATTTGTGGACTCGGTTCAGTGGTTACGGCGCTGAGTAGGCAGATTTGTAGTGGATAATAGATCAAACTTGACCCTCGATGGCAGGAAATCTAGCCAAATTTGAAATGGGGGTGTTTGCGATGATCGGCCTTGCCGGCCGGGGCCCGCTTTTGATGACATCGTTGCATATATGTAGCTTGCCCAAGCACTGACAAGCAAACTTCGAGTTTTTATGGCCTTACGTGAATTTAATGCGCTCGCAAGGAGTTGGTAGAAAGAGTATGATTACTTGAATAACTGTGTGTAGGAGACCTCTCATGGCCTGACAACCGCTTGACCAATATTTGAATTGGTAGGCAATGCCTATCTGTATAGGATGTAGTGATTTTACGACCATTTTCGATTATACATGACAAATTCTTGTCGAAGGCTTGCCTTGCTATGTTCGTTCCGGCTTCCATTACGGCGGCAGATAGGTGCGCGCACTAACAAACGTGAGTAGGTTTACGAAGAATTTTAGAATGAGCATCTTAACGAGCTGACCCCCGTCAAATTTGCGAAAACTTCAATTGTACTTGATTTCGCTTCACGTTCCAAGATAGGGCGTGTCATATGATGATATTCCACAACGATATGTTGCTCGAAGGTGGTCTAGCACCTCGGATTATCACCTTCTCAATGATAGTCTTGACAATTTTTAATAGAAGCCAGAGATAATACCTCTCAAGCAACTGTCTTGACTCCGACTCAGCACGCAAATCTGCAATTTACGTTTTATCAGGCTGGAAACTGCATGGCTTAGCTGTTATCAGGATAGGCCATGAGATCCATTGTCAAGGGCAGAGACTCCTCTCCCGCCTCGAACCATGAGCTGTCTTGACGAGCTGTGGCGTATCCAGATACATGTGTATCGTATAGTCCCTGCAAACTCCAGAATATAAGTAAGTAGAACCAAAAACTCCCAGTTTGGACGAAAGAACTGGGGGTCGAACGTGAACTTACCCAGTCAAGCTGAGTCGGCGTGCCAAGCATGTCACCGATAACATCGAGAGAGGAAGTGGATCCTACTCCATCTGAATACGTGGAGAACATGGCCTGTAAGACTGCAGTCGATCCCAAATTGGTCGCTGATTGCACGTCCGGGCTGATTGTAGCGAATTCCATTTCTCGTACCATTTGATCTGGGAACTTGTTAGTAACACACATGCGTATGCCGTGTTGGGCAATCGGTACCTTCAGATGGAGGCGTCGGTCTTTGGACATTTTGCATCCAGCGGTCCTTCTGCTGAGGGTGAACCTTGCCGAGCATAATACTCAAAGCGACAAATGCTCGGTGTGTGTCTACCGATTTTCGTCGACCCTCCTCGAATATTTGATGGGTAGTTTCTAAGAGTGTCAATATCTCCATGCGCTCCTGCTCCTCCAAACGGCATTTGGAGCTGTCCTCGGAGGAGCTTTGAGACAGCTCTAGACAGAGGATCATGGCCGAGAGCACAAAGTCAGAGGTCTGGAAAGCATTGGCAAAGTATTCATTCGAGCACAGCAGGCCTCCTGGTTTTGACTCGGTCCAAATCTCAACATTACACCGTAGTGTTTGCTTCGCGGCCGCGAGGCAGACCGATCTCGAGTAGGCGAACTTGCTTTGAAGCTGGCCCATGTAGCGGCGATGAAGTACTTGGCGCGCCTGTTGATACAGCATTTCCAACGAGTATCGGCGGAAGATGATGGCTGTTGGAACAGTGATACTCTGGTTGATCGGATGCATACAAAGTATAGTTGGCAGGGCCTTATGTGCGTTTTCCAGGCGACGGTCAATGGCCAGAATTTCGTCGTCGTAGGATGCTGTGTCTCGCGAAAAGGCCAGATCGACAATCTCACCAAAGGCCGCCATGAGTCGTGCTTTGGCCCTAACATACGTACACCATGTGAACTCGCCGTCGTCACTTCGTGATTCCGGCAGCTGCGTGGTCGCTTGATCAAACTCGGTATCATGCAAGTTCGATGGCAGCTCGGTGTCGAATTGACAGGGTCGAATGGTCCTTGGGCATCCCATCTGAAAGGATACCAAGGTGTCTATTTGACACAGACAAGCCCAGACTCGGCGACGCATTTCTCCCTCCCAGACTGGGAGATTCGGAAAGTGCTTGGAATCTCGGTGATAGCCCATGCGCATGGCAAGTCGGATCGTCATTGACAAGAGGTATGAGACCCCAATTTGTGCGTCCCGACTCCGATAAAACTCACATATGGTGTAAAGGAGTAGGGCCTCGCACTTGTATCGCCCAGGGACCAAATAGTTGGCTTTCACCAAGCACTGGGCTGCTCTAGTCCGGTAAAGGTCCCAGCGAGCCGCAGAGTTCACTAAATCTGAGGGCAGTGCTTGTTCACCTCTGTAGATCCAGGATATTGATAGTGCAAGAACGTCGAATAGGAGAGCGATCCACGTAAATGGCTTGCTGTATGGATCATGCCAAAACTCTTCATACTCGCGCTGAAAGGTTGGGACGTGTAGAGCAACTATATCACCGAATTAGAGATGTCTTCCTTTTGTCATGTTTTTGTTGGCGCGTAGAGGATCGGTGTATACCGAGAGCTGGCTCTGCAGATTTCAGAAATTTGGAAACCAACCGATCAGCCACTGGTCGAGAGGGTATGTCCGCAAGCACTTCCTCTTTGGTCATAGGCCGAGCCATTCCCAGCAGCAAGGCAGGTGACGGCCCTGCGCCCAGTGCTTCTTCTGAATCCTCTTCATCGGAGACTTCATGGTCAAGAAAGTGCTCCCTCACGCCGTGAATCTGCACTTGGTCAAAACATTTTGTCACCCTGAAAGGCATTTTTGATTGATCAGAAGTGGTACCAATACAGCTGTGACGCACCTCTTGCAAGATTGCACGCCAGTCCGAGCTATCGATGTAGCTAATCTCTTCGTTCTTAACGAGCAGAGTACCCGAGTCCGGAGGCGAGTCATTTGTCTCGAACTGATCCGGAGTCAAGAGGCTCTCATCGGCATCCATCGCATTGACTCTTGAATCGCCAGAATTTTTCTGTGCCAGCGACATGACCAAATTCTCGAGGTGCTGCAGACGGTCTTGAATGACTTTTGGGCTTGAGCGCTCATGCCGAGCTTTACTCTGAGGTCCAGGGCCAACATAAGCGCATTTTTCAGCCTCGCCACGCCTTTGGCAATTGGTACATGGAAAGATGCGATCGCATCTTAGCCTGCCCATGATCAGTAACAGATCCTCCGTATATTGAAGAGTAGTGCAGCCGGCGAAAGTCTGCGTTTCGAGCCCCTTCAATGATGTAGTGTCATGAGCAGCTCACTTTTTGCTCCTGCAACTTATGCACGAGAGCTTGACTCGCGTCCTCTTCTTCATTGCTGCCGACGATCTATCCGCACTCTGCGGGTCTCGCGCACTCATGGGCAAGTCCGCCATGGCCGGAGAAGAATACCACTATAATAGTAAAAGGGGAATGTGGTTGTGGTGAGTAACAAGGCACTGAGATCTCGTATTGAACTAGTCACAAAAAGGGCAGAATGGCGCCGCAGATGCAGAGTATTTAGTATTTACTGGTAGTCGGTTGCTGCTAGTGCCACTGCTTAGTGCTTACTGATTACTACTACGGTACTGGTAGGAGTAAGGTACCTACTACCTAGTAAGAGAGTAAGAGTACCGTAGTCTTGGCGCGAATTGTTTCCCACTCGATCGCTGAGGATCGGACAATTTACCTCAATCTAAACTTGATCAAGCAAGCCGTGCAAATCCCATCACATCAGCCGGCGGTGTTCTCGAGTACAGCGGCCGATAAGTGCACTAAGCAACGAACGTAACTTTGCGGGAACAATGTTCATGAAAAAACCAACCAAAGTAAACATCCGAAAAGAAGAATGCCGAAAAAATATGCACTCTTTACAGACATATATCGATCGGAATGGGTAATGATCTGATGAGACTGGTTGTCAACCAATCTGAACATTGGTCAAGCCCGAATTTTAACATCATGGTTGTTATTGTGCGTATGACGCGCCTTATCTTGGAGTTTACGAAACGAAATCAATTACAAACAGGCCGCAAATTCGACAATAGTGAGCTCGCTGGTATGATCGCCCTAAAGACGAACTTGTCCGCCATTGATACGGTCCCAATCTTTCTGAGTAAATGGAGCATAAGTTTCACCTTGTAGCCAGTAGAGACGGTCGTTCTGAGAGACTTGGGACACATCAACGCCCTCCGTTCGCAAGACATGTTTCTGTTGCTTGTTGTTTCCGGTGGATGACATCGCAGGCAATACACGAATGAAGAGCGGCACAGCATATCGTGGAAGGTTCTTCAGAGCGTGAGTTGCCAAGCTCGACAGGGTTGTGGAGGACGGCTCCAGCGCAGGGCCGGTGGTTTCACCACTGGCCAGTTGCTGATTGAAAACGATTGCAGCGCATCCAGCACGACCGTCATGATTTGGAAGGGCTACGCCGTAAACGTTTGCCTCGTGGACATCAGGGTGGGAGCCGAGGACCTCTGCGACCTCGTTCGTCGACACATTCTCACTTTTCCAGCGGAAAGTGTCACCGATCCGATCGGAAAAGTACCAGCGTCCTTCCTGGTCCCATCGAACCATGTCGCCTGTGCGGAAGTAGGCGTCGCCCTTTTTGAGCACGTCTCGCAGGATTTTGCCTTCCGTGGCTTTCTTGTTCTGGAAGTACCCCTGGAAGGTCGCACTTGGGTCTACGGGGTCAAGGGCAAAGAGAAGCTCGCCAGGATCACCACGTGGCACTTGCTTGCCCAGGCCCGTCTTAGGGTCACGCCAGGGCTCCTCGGTCTCGTGATCAATGGCGACGATGACTGTGCCACGGCCGAGAATGAGATTTCCCAGTGCACCGTTCCGGCCAATGGCACCCGCCGAAAAGTCGTTTGATGAACGGTTCCACTGCCCAGAAGTTCCCTCTGTTGCAGCGTAGAATTCAGCAATAGTAGGGATGTTGAAGCGATCCTTGAAACGGTTCCAGATATCTGGCCGTAACCCATTACCAAAGGCAATGCGAACTTTGTGCTTCTTGTCAAGGTTTTCACCAGTGACTGGGTCGATCTCGGATGGAGTTCCCAGAATATAACGCAGTGTCTCGCCAACGTACTGAATAATTGTTGCGTCGTTTTCTCTCGCCTCCCTCATGAAGTTACGAGCGGAGAACTTGCGTCCCACAATCATGGTTGACCCGTTAGTCAAGCATGTCGCAAATCCTAAAACCATGGCGGAAGAGTGATAAAGCGGCATGCAGGTGTAGAAACGGTCTGAAGGACCCATTTTCAACCAGTCACCCACGAATAGACCTCCGTTCCAGCATTTCTTCCAGCTCACAATGGCAGCTTTGGGCAAGCCTGTGGTACCGCTAGTGTATATCAGGATGGCCATATCGCGCGGAGACTGCCCGCTGCGCTCCTTGTCGTCCAGACGAGTGGGTTCCATACCCTGTACTTGAGACTCGACATCTGGAGTATAGAAGACCACATTCACAGGTCCTTCGCCATTTCGGAAATTCGATGCTGCAAAGATATCCAGCTGTTCTTGCGGGAAACAGTCGCGCACGTCCTCATCAACCACCAGAAGCCTCGCGGTCGACGTACGCACGGAGTGGGTCAGTGGCTTGCCGGTAAGGTTATAGTTGATGAAAGCGGGGACCGCGCCGATGCTCCAGAGACCAAGAACTACAAACAAGAAGGTTGAAGAGTTCATGAGATCAATGGCGACGATCTCTTTGCGCTGGACACCGTGTTCCTTCTTGAACCACGCACCCCAACGAAGGGCCATATGATAGGTATCACGATATGTCCACGTCTTTCCGTCATACACAATGAACTCTCTATCGGCAGTTGCGGGTGAGAGTGCATAGCTTTCAAGTGTGTAGAACAGGTTGAGTTTATCCGCTCTCTCAGCAGATCGGGTCTTGATCGTCAATTTGAGCAAAGACTTAATCATGCCGAGGTCGTAAGACAGGGACCATCGGGCGTTCAAGTACGCAGCCGTGGCTGCGACGGCTGGGAGTGCATAGCGCAGGGGAACATCTGTTGCAACGCGCAATGTGAGCTCATCTCAGCCAGCTGAGATTGATTGTGACGTCTTACCTGGCCATGATGATAGCGGCATGTTGGATTGTCGGTAATTGGCGATGGAAAAACAAACAGGAGACACGAAGTTCAGCAATCATGGACACTGAATGGAGTGGCTCGGCTTGTCGTATCCGGGGCGATAAGCGTCTGATAAGCTGCGTCAGAGCCGACCGCGACAGTACCTACTTGATGGTCCACAAGCTAAAGAAAGAAGGTAGCTGACCCAGAAATGAGCCGAACAAACAATTAGGCGCTCGGATCTAGTCGTGTAATGATATATTCTGTGAATTCAGAAAGAAGAGGTTGGGAGCAAGGTAAGACAAGCGGAGAACGTCGTACATTTTGCCTCGGCACGACGCCATGTATATCTGAATGCGGATGGCTGTCCCCCGCATCTGATTTTATGCGACGTTTTATGCTCTGGGCGCGGAGAGTGACCCCTGTCAGGTACGGACTGATACTCCGCTCTCTAATATCGGGCCTGAATCAGAGGCTAGACAGGACATCTGATATGAGGAGGAAGCCGTCTGGAAAAGTAGACTATTGAATTCTTGCATTACTCTCTATTTTGGACATCAAGTATTCAATCTCGAGGCCCACGTCCACGAAAGCGAAACTCGCATATCTTCCATAGGTAGTCCAGTCCGTCGGAGTGATCGGCTTGATAAAAATGCAGATTCCAACGCGCAATCGTGCCTTGTTATTTTTGTTTCGTCTCCATTTTTTGCATCACGCGTAAAACCTCTCACTCACAAGGTGAGCGGATATAAAACGTCCGCATGTCATCTATCCGCTTATCGATGTAGGCCCAGGGACCTGGTCGCTTTTCTGAATACCTTATCATGGAATTGTTGTCAACCCACATGATGGAGTACCTTTCACAATACGGCAGTTGCATGGATTAGGTTGGTTCATGGGCGGATGTACCCGTTCCTCCGTCAATGTCGATCATGTGTCAAGATAGGTACAGACCGACCTGTGTCACCTGACGTCCTGAATTGGTTCCTCTCGATTACGGTATAAAGCGGCATGCTGTTTTTGACTCTGCACCGAATGAAGTGCCTGAGATTCTAAATTGTCCTTAGTGATGAAATCGTAGGTGCTACCGCGAGTCTCGGGATATGGTAATGGGTCCCATTTGTTGTGTTATATGTACTGTACATGTCCGAGGCCACGACAACTTGCGCACAGGCTGGCAGCCTATTGAGACGACTTAGCCTTTTTCAGTGCAGGAACATCATCATAGTCGTCTTCCATGAAATCTCGGAGCCTGTCGAGGCCTTGTTCCAACACATGAGTCTCGCAGGCATACCCAATGCGCACATACCCTCGGAATTCCTCACCTCCTCCGAAACACAAGCTTCCGGGTACAAACATCACGCCCTTTCGATCGTGTAGCATCTCGCAGAAAGCTACGTCATTGACTGGCTTGCCCATCTTGTTGAATCGGACAAATGCCGTTGTACCAGCACGAGGCTTGATCCAATCGCAAGCCCAGCGGTAAGACTCAATGAACTTCTCCAAGATAGCAAGGTTAGTTCGCGCCAGCTCAATATTGCGTCTCAACAGATTGTGAATGCAGTCCGGGCCAAGCGCGAAGCTAGCAATGGCATCGTCGAGCTGACCGACTGAGATCGTGGTGTAATCGCGCGAACTAGCACAAGCCTCGATGATTGACTCGTTGCGAGATGCGATCCACCCCACGCGGAGACCAGCTAGACTGTAGGCCTTTGAAACCGACCCAGTCACTACACTGTGCTCGTAGCCCAAGGAGAGAAGCGACGGAGGAAATTGAGGGTCCATTGGGCTGATGTTGTGAAACACCGGTCGATATACTTCATCTGCGAAGAGCGTGATAGAAGATTCTCGAGCAATCTCAACTAGACCTTGGAGAGTGTCGCGCGGAACAATAGCACCAGTCGGGTTTTGGGGGTTGCTATGATGGAACAGTGGTTGATCAGCATCATCAACCCTACCATCAGAGGTGGATTACTTCAGTGAGCCACGTACTTGATAATAACCAATTTAGTATTCGGGCGTATAAGCGATTTCAGCTCGTCGAGATCAAGTTGCCAATCCTTTGATTCATTCGCCTTCCAGAGGCTAACCTCGGCGCCTAGTGATGCAGGGACCGAATAAAGCTGTTGGTAGGTGGGGTAGTGGCAGATCACATGGTCCCCAGGTCCGATCAGGGTGTACAACAGTAAGAAATTGGCTGAAATCGCGCCGTTGGTGATTAAGATGCTCTCCTTACTGGTCAATCCAGGAGTTTTAGCCGAGTAAAGATTGCTGAGCGTTTCACGCAGTTGATCGGAGCCCCGAATGGCACCGTAGGTAAGCTTCATCGACTGCAGTCCGACCAGCGGATCCTTATCCTTGTTCTCGCAGAGAGCACGAAGATCATCAATTGAGACAGACGCGCAACAGGTCTCGGCTGTGTTGAATTTGGCAGTCGTCTCATACTTGTCCATCCACTTTTTAGTCTGTTAGCAAAGTTCATGCTTCCAACATAAACAGTGGTCTCTTGATTTGAGATTCGAGTCCGGTCGCGTCTTGATATTTAGCGTTCATGCGGGGATGGGCTCTCTTACCTGTTCCACGGCAAATGCCTCGATTTTCACCATCTTGCAAACAATCGACTCTGTCGAGCTACAAACCTCGGAAAAGCTTGACACGCTAGATCAGAATTTCGCCAGAGTCTCATTGACATTGTCCCATCGATTAACAGCCGTGCGGGGGTAAAAGAATGCCTTTGAAGGCTCATGACCCAATTAATCACGTGGACTGTACCCCACAGAGCAGTGTCCGGGACAACATCAAGCACCGAGTCTCGGCGTCCTTCATGTATGTCGATGTAGCCCTGATCGCAGACCACTTGACCTACCTCGAATAGCCATGCAGGGTCCAAATTTGAACAAGTGGTGACGCAGTCACACAACACATCAACGATGAAGACCCTACCATTAGACGTCCGGTCCTCTGAAGGTATGCCGATCAAAGTCAAGGCTTATCTTCCTCTGGCGGGTTCCTGGTCCACCCTTGAAAGGGCTCCGTAGAGGCACAGCAACCTGACGGGACTAGCCACATTGAGGTCTCCGCCCGCGTCATCGCCCAAGACCCGCCTCCTCTCCGCACTTGGAACGTCTGCTCGAACACATCCGCTTATTCTTGTTTGAGCACCTCCCTGGCGCGTTGTACGAATGCCCTCAGATCATCCTCAGGCTCATCTCTGAGAGAACCTGCGACTTTGTATCACTAGTCATATTTGGGGCCCCGTTCATCACGGTGCGTCCGAAATAGAGACTAATCACTTCGTGATACCATGCGGTCGGCATACGCTTTCCTCTTCCCGGTAGTCGCTCTCGTCTGCTGCGCTACCCCAGCAGCATCCTGGAGCGATGTCTACGATGTGACCTTGGTCCCCCGATCTCCTTACCCTCTGCTCGATGACAGGCCACCCGAGTGTCCGCCATGCTTCAACTGCCAGCTCGATTCCTACAATTGTACCCACTTTGCGACTTGCAATCAGTACAATGGCAAGTGCTCTTGTCCACCGGGCTTTGGCGGTGATGATTGCTCAACTCCAGTCTGCGGAGCGCTTTCCGACGGCGAGAACCGTCCCCGGCGAGAGGGCGATACCTGTCACTGCAAAGAGGGCTGGACTGGCATCAACTGCAATGTCTGCGAATCCGATAATGCCTGTGATGCCATGATGCCCGAGGGTGAGGGCGGCCGATGCTATAAACAGGGTGTCACTATCAAAGAGAATTTCCAAATGTGCGACGTTACCAACCGAAAGATCCTCGACCAGCTCGATGGCCGGAAGCCCCAGGTGACTTTCTCCTGTAAGGACGAAGACAAGACTTGCAACTTTCAATTCTGGGTCGGTCAGAAAGAGTCTTTCTACTGCGGGCTAGATACTTGTGAGTGGGGCATGGAGAATGATTATGACACGAACATCACAAATTACAAGTGTGAGAACGCCCACTGTAGCTGTATCAAGGACCGGTTCCTGTGCGGCGAAAATGGATCGATTGATCTCAGTGACTTCCTCGATCAGGTCATTAAAGGGCCGGCCACTTTCTCCACCACAACGACTGCGAAGGGCACGAAGAGTGTCTTCTCCGAGCCAGAAATGAACAACCTGATCAGCGGCGTGTTCGGTGACCCGAGTATTTTCCTGAGCTGCAATTCGGGAGAATGTCTTTACAAAACCGATTTACCAGGTTACGAACGACCCATCAAGAAAATAAACACGCCTTTGATTGCTGGTGTGATCGCTGGCTGCTCTCTCTTCGTGGTTGCTGTCATTTTGTTGTTCTGGTATCTTTCTCGTCGGGCTGCTCGACGCGGGTACCTTCGTTTGTCTCTATCCGATGACTCCGATGACGAGTCTGCCAGACTGCTGGCTGAGCATCGCCCTGCAGCACTCTATTGGGATGACGTTTCGTACTATCTGAATGGCAAGGAAATTCTCTCCGGTATTCACGGTGTTTCCGGACCAGGGCAGATCACCGCGATTATGGGCGCATCTGGTGCGGGTAAAACCACCTTCTTGGATCTTCTAGCCCGCAAGAACAAGCGCGGTATCGTGCAAGGCAACTTCTACGTGAACGGTGAGAAAATGATCGATAGTGAGTTCAAGAGCATGGTAGGCTTCGTCGATCAAGAAGACACGATGCTGCCCACTTTGACGGTGCATGAAACCATTCTCACCAGTGCTCTTCTGCGACTACCGCGGGACATGAGCCGGGCGATCAAAGAGCAGAAGGTATATGAAGTGGAAAAGCAGTTGGGAATCTACCATATCAGGGACCAGTTGATTGGATCCGAGGAGGGTAAGGGCCGCGGCATATCTGGCGGAGAGAAGCGCCGTGTTGGTATTGCTTGCGAGCTTGTTACAAGTCCTAGTATCCTGTTCTTGGACGAGCCGACGAGCGGACTGGTAAGTCACGAATCTTAAAAACTTGCCCGAGTCTGATGCTAATGTGAAGGGTAGGATGCATACAATGCTTTCAACGTGGTGGAGTGTCTTGTGACGTTGGCCAAAACATATAATCGCACTGTCATCTTCACAATCCACCAACCCCGCTCCAACATCGTTGCATTGTTTGACAGGTTGATTCTCCTCGCTCGTGGTCGAACGGTCTACTCTGGCCCGTTCTCCAAGTGCCAGCAATACTTCGACCAAATTGGATACTCCTGCCCTCCTGGGTTCAACATCGCAGACTACCTGGTCGATTTGACAATGCATGCGAGTGAAACAACCTCTTATCGTGATGACATTGGCCCTGCAACAGAATCTCATGATGTTCCACCGAAGACAGCGTCTAGCAGCCTCAGGGCGGTCAAATCTGTCGCCAGCGCATCCAACGTGAGCATGGAGGACAACTCAAGCATGACGGCAGAGCCAACAAGGCGGCCAAAGAATAGCCGAAGGGTGTCCCTCAAGCAGCAGCAGGATCGCCAGCTCTATTCTCGAAGAAGCAACCAGGAACGGCCCACCACGCCTAAGACTGATGAAGAAGATGCTACGCTCGACGTGGCGGAAAACACTCAGCAGTGGCTTCGGCTCCATCGCCAACCTGGAAACGTTCCTCCACAAATTCTCGACGACCCGGATCAGCTACCTCCTCCGGCACCTGGTCAGACTGATCTTGATGTACTGGTGGCCAGCTATGCCGATTCTAATATTAGCCGTGCCGTCCAGGATGAAATCAATTCTGCCATTCAATCGGCACAGACTGCGAATGGCTCTACCAACTCGCACCTGGCGAATGGCTCTGGTAATGGACAAGGCAGCTACGCTCGGATAAGCTTGGGTCGTCAATTCCTCATCCTATCCCAACGCACCTGGCGTAACCTTTATCGCAATCCTATGCTGATGCTTACGCATTACGCTATCGCTATATTGCTTGCCGTTCTCTCCGGATATCTATTCTACGGGTTGACGGACGACATCAAGGGTTTCCAGAATCGGCTGGGTCTCTTCTTCTTCATTCTGGCGCTGTTTGGCTTCAGTACCCTCACAAGCTTGACCGTCTTCTCTACAGAGCGACTCTTGTTTGTGCGGGAACGAGCCAACGGATACTACCATCCAGTCACTTACTTTGCTGCCAAGGTTGTCTTTGACATTGTGCCTCTTCGGCTTATCCCGCCCATTATCATGGGCGTCATCGTATATCCAATGACCGGACTGATCCCCGCTTGGCCCGAATTTTTCCGCTTCATGTTAATCCTCGTCCTGTTCAACCTGGCCGCGGCCTGTATATGCCTTTTCATTGGTATCATCTTCCGGGACGGTGGCGTGGCAAACTTGATTGGCAGTCTTGTGATGCTCTTTAGCTTGTTGTTTGCCGGTCTTTTGCTGAACCACGATGCGATTCCTGCATCCGCCTTGTGGTTGCAAAGCGTGAGTATCGCTCAGCCTTGTCTCTTCACAAGAATATTGTCCACTGACTTGAAGATCATAGCTTTCTATTTTCCACTACGGGTTCGAGGCGCTTATTGTCAACGAGGTCACGTTCCTGACTTTGATCGACCACAAGTACGGTCTGGACATTGAAGTCCCCGGTGCTTCCATCTTGAGTGCGTTTGGATTTAACACGCTGGCCTACTGGCAAGATGTCGTGGGCTTGGCCATCTTCTCTGGAGCCTTCATTATTATCGCGTACGCTGCGATGCACTTCCTTCTTGTGGAGAAGCGGTAAAGTGCCCATCTGGAATGTGAATTTTACTGTCGAATGACACCCATTTATCCGATTCATTTGGCTCGAGTGACAGCCGTACTCGATTGGCTGCTTGTTTCTCCTTGTCACAAAGGAATCGATTGGCGTTTTGTTTGCAATATCTTATCACTCCAGTCTTGCTTCATAATTCAGTGTAGGTCCCAAGCCTACCCACTCCCCTTGTGTTTGATTTTCAGTGGAATTCCTTCACTGGGCTTTGTGTACACAGAAGACTCAAAATACTCGTAAGTGGGGCTTGTGGAGCTTCAAGATTCCTCAATAATTCCACGGCCGAAGATGAAGTCCCGCGTAGTTCAACAGGCTCCTTCTCTCCCATGGTTACAATTCCGTGAAAATATCACCTTAGTGACGAATCATTCAGAAAGAGACAGCCCCTCGACATATTTTTCTTGAAGTCTTGCATTGGGAATTGGACCAGCTAGGTAAGTCGCTCTCTGCCTGAAACCAAGGCCCACTGAGTACACAATACACAGTAGAAGAAGGGTGAAGTAGTGCATAATTCTCCATCAATTTGACAATCCGAGATCCCGCTGTGGATGATGTTTCGGATACGACGTTTTCATGCACATGATATTGACATCTCTTAGGTTGTGCCTCGCTGAGTATCTCGGATCATTGAACATGCCAACGTACTGTTGGATGTCTAGTGGGTCGTCAGCCTCATCTTTAGTGTTATGAGCTATCACTCATCGAAGTCTTACTGTCCAGCCACGCTACCTACACTAGTAGCCGTCAACAGTCACCGAATCTCTGAACGGACTCTATGGAGCGAAGTGATGTCACATTCTTCTTGCGGTCACAATATCTTTTGGCTGGATCTTCGAGGTATCTCGAGATATGCTATGACAGCAGTGATCCTGATGGAAACTCATTCTGACACACGGAACCCGTATATTCAAAGTAAGAATGCAAGATACTCATTCAGATCACCCATTATTCCGTAGCACGGGTATTCAATCCAGTATTCAGACTAGTATCTATCCCAATACATATGGCATTGGTGAAGTTGTCTCTATCGAGATTTTCGCCCGGTGAAAGACCAGCTTCGTCATGACAGTATGACAGATTCTGTCCCTGCCGTCGTCCGCAGCTTTCCACTCCCTTTTTCCCTCGTCCGTGTGTCTGTTTTGTAACTCGCAACTCACCAATGTGACAGCTCCTCTCATTTGCCTCACCTACGGATGACACTAACACCGACTTCAGTTCCAACTTATTCCTCGACAGATCTGAGACAGTCAATCCCTCTTACTCTTCTATTCCATTGATAACATATTGGCTGGATCACGAGCAAGAAGCTTTATTGACGTTGGGGTTTATCGCCCCTTGAGCTGGTTATACTGCCCGCAGCATAGGCCGAGCCTCTTCTACCTTTCAAAACCACCATTATCCATTTCTCTCTCCTTCTTTCTCATACCCGGGGCTTTCATCACCTCCTCGATTCCTCTTCTTACTCCATTGTACTCACTGCCCATCAACTTTACCATCCGCCTCCAAGCACATCCATAATGCAATCTCATTACAGGATCGGTCTCACAGTGGACCTCCTTCTGCGGGCAAGAGAGAAAGTTGACTCGGCTTTCAGGACATGGATGAATCTGCTGTGTTCATTGCAACACATTTCGATGATTTTCCTTGCCGGCCCCCGTTCTTCACGAACACGGATGGCATGAAGAGTACCGGTATTATGTGGGCTGTTACCGAGGATATTTCAGTGAAAGCGGACGACCAAGACCAGTGTGAGTAATTTGATGTTTTGGAAATGTATTGGGGAAGTTAAGTACAAGAGGGCCCGCTCAAAACTGTGTCGTCAAATCGGAGATATTACACGCCAAGTACCTGGCTTGAAGAAATTGACACCGTCTTCAGAGTATTTCGATTGGCCTGCGACGTCACGGGCACTGGGCGGCCTCTACGTTCCCGCCTCGCCCGGTGAGTCTGGATGAAGCCTCAAGACCGTGAAGTCTTCTTGTCGCTCATTGCGAACTTGATGAACTGCGAAGGTGATAGGTACTTCGCATGGAGCTGCTACTCAGTGAGAGAAGTACCGCAAAGTGAGCTTTGGGATTGGTGCAATGTCAAGTCAAGATGAGTAGGCCGGATCGCTCTGCAGCTGAGCGTTGCTGTTATCAATCGCTTAAGTGTACCTATAGGGGGAGGCGAGAATAAGCAAGATCACAGATACGACTCCCCGCAGCTTGAGTTGAAGCAAGACGTGAGGAGGGCATGTGTCACTGGTCGCAGGCAGTTGGAATGCGGCGGCGCACGTGTTCGACGTCATTCTCATGCGACTCAAACGCCTGTGAGATTGGCCTATTTCTCCCTCTTCCCTGCCCAGATTTGGTGCTTACGTCTCTGGTAAAACGCTCAGAGCACACGGGGCTCCTTCGTTAACTAAGATCTGGTGTCTCCTACAGTGTCGCTTGGAAGTTGTGAGTAATTCGTCGTTGATCCATTCGAAGTAGTATGGCGGGCAAGATTTCGCTAATTAGACTAACCCAGAACGAGTAGGTCACCTTACTCACATGTAATCTTCCACCCACCCAACCTCTCCGAGCTTTCTGTTTCTCGCCCATCGCTACCAGCTTCCACACACATTCTCTCCACTGGAGTCTGAACTCGACTACATACTGTAAGTCATATTCAAAACACTATCTTTGGCTATTTGAACCCAACACTGTCTCTGGGATTCCTCCGTTTTCCTCGCGACGTCGGACCCCACAAACCCCGTCCCCAATTCCGGCCTTGCGGGCCGCACGACAATTACGGTCCCTCACTCCCTTCTCTTTTTCCCTCTCGCTATCTCTTTACTGAAGCTCCTGAACCTCAAGTCTGCACACCATTGTTGAGTGGAAGCCATCCCACTAACTCGAGCGACTACCTACCAGCCCTCCAATTGCATATCTTTCAGCTCACCGGTGTGAGTGAACGTCGCGCCCATGATGTCCGGCGAAGCATGGCTCTACCTGTTGGCAGTGTTGATCAATGCGGTCAACCTGTTCCTTCAGGTCTTCTTCACCATTATGTACAGCGATCTTGAGTGGTAAGTAACAGCTTCGAATCTTTGCGCGTGAACGCCTGTCCAGACCTCGAGATAGACCCGGTTGATGCTGATTTCCCCTTTTCGTCCATAGTGACTACATCAACCCCATTGACCTTTGCAATCGCCTCAACGCCTATATTATCCCCGAAGCTGCCGTCCACGCTTTCCTGACCTTCCTCTTCCTGATCAACGGCTACTGGCTCGCGATTGTCCTCAATTTGCCTCTTCTGGCATTCAACGCGAAGAAGTACGTTCTGTCCATGGTCCCTCGAATAATGCCTTCTGCGGCACCCATACTGGGTAACTGGACGCCATTCTAATCTGTTCCATCTGGATTTCTAGGATCTATGATAACCAGCATCTGTTGGATGCGACTGAGATCTTCCGCAAGCTGAATGTCCACAAGAAGGTGTGTTACCCTGCAACCGCGTCCCTGTCCGGTTATGTCTTTTCTCTCTCGATCTCAGTGTCTGACGGTTGTTTTTGTGCTTCACCATAGGAGTCATTTATCAAACTGGGCTTCCACCTCTTGATGTTCTTCTTCTACCTCTACAGCATGATTGTTGCCCTCATCCGCGATGAAGGCCACTAATCTTGAACATGTGTGGGGAATACGCAATGCGCCCCGAGCCTTCTAGCTCGCTTGGCGGACATTGTAATCGCTGGAGGACGCCTGTTCATGGAAGTGATGTGGGATCTATACCTGTATTCGTGTGTCGCTGATCGAAGGCGACAGCACAGCCTTCCGGCGGTTGCCGTGCTTCCTATCTCGGTGTCTCTACCTACTGATTCCTTCTGTCGAGATTGAGCCTGGTGTAGGGATACGATTTGACGGGTTAATGTGTCAAGATGAATGTGTCATATGCTCTAGATGGATGGTCACTGGGGACGGTGATCGGGCAAAGAGTGTGCTTGCTAGACCACTTTCTTGCGGTCGCGACATGCGGCTCCCGACAAGAAATCTGGTTTGCTTATATCATGAGAAGAGTTTTATAGAGATTGTTATCAATGATCCAGGAACCTTGTGACTACTCGTATGTTGTATGTTTTACTTTGAAATTCTAAGCGTACTTCATCCGCCTGTCCTTCGCCTTTCCATGTTGCCATATCAACAGGTGTGAGCTGTTCATACAAAATTTGCTATTATGTGACGAAGAAGGGACGGTGGGACGCAATACAGTATACTACACATGTCTCGCTGTATGGTGGACTGTTTACTCTCGATCTACTAAAGCTACGCTTGTTGTTGATCATTGAAGATGGAGTTGTAATAAAAAAAGCTGGAAGCCGACTGATCATTATACACATACAGGGTTTCAAATCTCCCAGGTTGTTATTACTACTAGTAGCCTATTGAGAATACATTGAACCCAAGAACACATTGAACCCAAGAAGCCTATATTCCTAATTCATTTTCGGTACCTGCGAACTGCGATTGATGACCGGTGATGGGCGTCCTACTGGAGGCGCACCAAAGTGTCAGGCGACGCCCAGCTGCCCGAGCTCTACCGCTCCCACCGACGGGGGTTGTTCTTCGCTGCGCGGGTCTCCCGACGCCAGTAAAATTCCCCATGAATCCGCTTGCGCGCTGAACCACCTTCCTGCATACTGCTTTTTCATACAGTCTCCACGTATTCGCTGCAGACCCGACTCTACAAAAGAACCCCTCAAAGCTCGAAGCCTAAAAATGGCTTCCTTACTAGGTGCAGGGTACGAGTCAAGCGACGATGACGCCACAGCGCCCAACCCTTCAGTAACGACTGCGACCAAGATTGTCGCCGCTCCAGAAGTCAATACAGAGGTTTGGTTCCCTCTCCGGGCAATTCCCATGGCGTTGCTCGCAATAGAGATCGCGTATCTCTACGATTCTTCTTCGAGATGATGATAAGACTAACAATCCCACAGGATCAAGCGCATATGCAGATGACACTCGCCAATACCTCGTCGCAAGCCCTCACCTACAACGCCACATACGATGATCTCACACGGCCATCCCAAGGCCCCGTCAATCCCTTTAAACCAGCAGGACCTGGAAACGGTGTGAAGCGGAAGAATGTCCCGACAGGATTTGCGGAGGAGGCAGCCATCAGCGAGGCGACATTTGCCGCCCAACATCGTACGTTCCAGAGCCTGGGGTACACGCGCAATCCAACTGCGCCAGACCATTTCGTGGGAGATTTGGGAAAGGTCGCTCAATTTGGCGGGAAGGATGTGGTGCAGATGAAGCCGACTAAGGAGGCCTCTGCTGCGTGGCGCGCAAAGCGACAAAGGAAGGGCGACTCGAGCATTGTGGAGGGGGAGGGTGCTTATCTTGGACCCTGGGCCCAATACAACAATGAGCAGCAGTACGAGGAGATTGAGGTGGGCTCGGGAGAAGAGCGCGAGCTTGGGAGTGATGAGGAATGGGCGGAAGAGGAGAATGAGACCTTGGCCCCTGCGGCACCTTTGCCGGCCATGCGCAAGGAAGCCACCGACTACCAGGGAGATACTTCCAAGGTGGAAACGACTGAATTCCATGGCTCTGAGCAGTTCGATTACCAAGGCCGAACGTACATGCATGTTCCCCAGGACTTGGATATCGATCTGAAGAAGGAAGTGGGCAGCGTGAAAAACTACGTGCCCAAGAAATTGGTGCATACCTGGAAGTCTCATACAAAGCCGATCACTTCATTGCGATTTTTCCCGACCTCTGGCCATCTGCTGCTTTCTTCTGCGGCGGATGGAAAGGCCAAGATCTGGGATGTTTATCACTCCCGGGAGCTGCTTCGAACATTCTCAGGTCACACGAAGGCCATCACCGATACCGACTTCGATCCTACCGGGAAGACCTTCTTGACTGCCTCCTTTGACAGACAGATTAAGCTTTGGGACACGGAATATGGCAAATGTCTGGGACGTTTCTCCACCGGCAAGACACCGCACGTTGTGCGTTTCAACCCGGGTGCCGAACATTCACACGAGTTCGTGGCTGGTATGTCAGACAAGAAGATTGTTCAGTTTGACACTCGATCAGGCGAACTCGTTCAGGAGTACAATCATCATTTGGCAGCCGTCAACACCATCACCTTCGTCGACGACAACCGACGATTCATCTCGACTTCCGATGACAAGTCCCTCCGTGCTTGGGAATATGGTATTCCTGTACCGATCAAGTTCATCGCTGAGCCCTACATGTTCGCTCTGACACGGGCGACTCCCCACCCCAACGGCAAATATGTGGCCTTCCAGTCGGGTGACAATCAAATTGTGGTCTACGGCGCCACGGACAAGTTTCGACAAAATCGCAAGAAGAGCTTCCGCGGCCACAACAATGCTGGCTATGGCATTGATATTAAGATCTCACCAGATGGTCAATTCCTCGCATCAGGTGACAGTGGTGGCTTTGTCTGCTTCTGGGATTGGAAGACCGGAAAAATGTATCATAAGATCATGGCAGGTGGAAAGGAAGGAGGCGCTACGACCTGTCTGGACTGGCATCCGCAAGAGACTAGCAAGGTTGCGACGGGTGGCTTGGAGGGCGTTATCAAGTACTGGGACTAAGATAACTGTTGAGGGACCTGGCTGTCATGGACCTTGCCTTGTTGCTATGATTCATTCCAGATGCAGCCTGGTACACTGTTGAGCAGTACACTTATCGAGATAGATATAAACATCAGCCTTTTCCGACTTTCCGATTGACTTTCGTGTTGGTTCTATGAGGCCTATCTGTACTACGTCCTTTCGGAAGATTTTGCGACGCGAAGTGATCCGCCGTGGTGACCCAATGTCCGGTTGTCAGATGAAGGCTCACTGGAATGCATGGATAGATCTTAGCTTGAATACTCGAGTTTATACTGGTCTATGTCTAGGTAGGCTCTAGCCCTGATTGCAGGGTTCTCGGAGAATCTGGAGAATCGGACTGCAAATTCGGAATTTCAAACCGTAACGTGTACTCAAGAATTTGCTACCGCATTGCACAGTCAAGCATGCTGTGTAGTAATCCATGCCTACCTCGACCCTCAGCTAAGATAGTAAGGTAGGTGAGACGGGACAGCCTCATCGAGGTCTCAAAAACACTTGAGAGATCCTACCCTTTGTGCACGCTGCGGCTTAATGTATCCAGGACGCAAATGCCTTCAATCACTGTATCATTTTATAGATTGAGATGGGAGATTGTCTATCGAGCTCTATTAATGACATTCAAACGGGAAACACACTCGACTGCAGGTATCTTGCCCACTGCACGCTATTCTCAAATAATTGTTCATAACCTTTCACCAACGCCGAGAAAGAGAATGGACAGATTCTCGTAGGAAGCGTGCAAGTGAGAAAGGTTGCGGTTTTCTCCATGCAAGCAAGGAGATTGCACCAATACTCACCAACACAGCGACTCCCAATCCGATACCGAGCATTTCACTCTGGCGAGCTACCGCACGGATGACCTCTGAGTAACGCTCGTTGCTGAAACTGACGCGGGCATACTGCGTCCTCCAGCCAAGGGACGGGAAATGACGATCGAGACTTTCCTCAATCGATTTGCGTAATCTGTACAACGGGGACTTGACGCCCCAGCGCATCTCCAAGTAGTTCTCACGAGACAAGTCGTTGATGGCGTAGGTATCCTCGCAGCGATAATCAGTGTAGGCCTGGAAAGCTGCTTGACGTCTCTCGTTACGGTCGTAGATGGCAATGTCCTTGTTGTAGACCCCGTGCTTGTCTAGATGTTCGAAGAGAACTCGGACATCCTCGAGACCGGCGTTGAGTCCCTGGCCGTAGAATGGCAGGACCGCATGCGCGGAGTCACCCAAGATCGCCACGCTTGAGCTGAAATGATGAGGCTTGCACTTGATGCTGATCAGGGGCAGATGGGGGTTTAGGTTGAATTGTTCGCTCAAGGCCTCGGGCGCAATGAGCTCGGGACATACACCGGGAAAATGCCGATCGAAGAAAGTATGAAGATCCTGTGGTGCGTTTTCCAAGGTGTTGTAATGGACAGATGGTGCGAATAATGTACAAGTAAAGGACTTATCTGCCGAAGGGAGCGCAATGAACATGAATTCACGACCCGGCCAAATGTGCAAGTGGTTTGGGGAGATGCGGAAGTCACCATTCTCGGAAGGTGGAATACGGAACTCGCACCAGAGAGTATCGATGTATTCTTGTTGGTAGTCGACGCGGGCGAATTTCATCATATGGAAGCGAGCTGCCGAGTGGGCGCCATCGGCACCGAGTAGAAAGTCAAAGGATACTTCAATTTCAGGGACACGGCCGGCCACACCCAGATTGTCTGGCTGGGGTGTTTCACCGGGGATGCGCCGCTCGAACCATGCCTTGTTCGTGCGGAAATCGGCGCCAGTCAGTTTATGATTGAAAAAGAGCTTGACATTCGGCTCTCGCTCCAACTCATCAAGTAGTGCATTGTTGAGAGTACTGCGATCCACCGCGTTGATTGCCTGAAGCAGGAGAAGTTAGTGATCAGGTTCTTGGCAATTTGATCCCAGTCTTTGACAATGCATGTAGCGCCCATGAGTGATGAGCACTCAAGACGATACGAGCAATACTCCAAGCAATAGGATCGGCAATATCATAAAAGGCAGGGTCTCAGGTTCGCACGTACCCGACCATGCACGTCATATGCTTGAGCAGCCTCCCAGAGTTGGCCTCGGTCTCGGCCGTGGATCATCCGCCCGTACATGGGGATGGTACCCTGAAGCACATTTTCGATGAGCTCTAAGCGCTGGGAATGCCGAATCGCAGTGATACCACGCTCCGACAGTGCCAAGTTGATCGACTTGGTGAAGTTGAGCGGTACAGTCGTGGGATCGCGGAGATCTACGGATGCGGCATGTAAATTAACTTGGGAACTTGTTCCCCGTGACAAGGACATCAGGAATGTTGAGTGCGAATCGAAAGGAAAGCGGCATCAGTATGCTTGGATCGACCGGAGCAATGGGCATAATCAAGATAGTCAATCTGTCCACGAGCGACCTTCATACGAGCTTTATGTTCAAGATCGCATGGTGCCCAGGGACGATATCGGCCCCAGTCGTCGCAAAGTGTAATGCAATTTTCCGATCGCATGACGGCCCTTGTGGCACCAGATTGACGCACGCATTACCTCCGCCGCATCTTTTTCTCTCCGTCGCACACAGTAGGAAAATGTGCCAGTAGGATTTGAGAATAAGGTCCTGGAGAACGTACCTCCGCGCAACTCGTATACTTCAACTTCGTCGCCGCGAGATGCAGCATAGAGCGCCGCCAGCGCGCCCACTGGACCTGCACCAACAATCACCACCTTCTGTCGCGAAGTAGAGGTGGCCATGGCTCGAAAAAGAATTGAAGAATGAAATTGAAAAGAGATCAATATGGACAAAACTTCATCTCACAACCAGGCCCTTTTCCCCGGATAAATCGATCTGACACTGTCACGTGCGAAAGATTATCGGTCATCTAATTGCCCGATGCAGTAGTCTAGCCCAAAAGATCGACCGAGAGCTGGCTGACTCATCTAACGTGCTTCGACGGGTCTGGAGGTTACCTACCACCGCGGGCGGGTAGGCCGGGTCTCCGATGCACTCTTCAGATGATGCCATACCTCTGCCTTGACGCCTCATGCATGAGGCCCTCAACTTCTCACGTTTCCTACGCATCTCGCTGTGGCCTTACGCCCTTATCCGTCTTGGATGGCCTGAGGTTATAAATGATGGGAAAACATTTGCACTAAGCCTGTTTTGGACTAGCAGGCGACTCAAAGTCCGAGGGGCCGCGGGGATTTGTCTTTCTTTTTTCGGAAACTGTTCCTGGCGCAAGCAATCAATCCCAACATTTGAAAGCACTATCCAAGACAAGTCGCCCTCCCTACCACTCAGGAACATCATGGCGGCTGTCGCGACTCGAAAATGCAATGGCGTGGACTGCCCAAATGACGCTGGCACACTCCAGTGTCCGACGTGTCTGAAAATGGGCACAGACAGTTTCTTCTGCTCACAAGACTGCTTCAAGAGAAGCTGGGTGAGTCGTATCTGCTCCTTCGAGGACAAGCAGCTCCGCGCACTAGGGCCTGTGAACCGTCTCTCAAACCTTTGAAAAATACCATGACTAACCTCACATCTTGAATCTCGATTAGAGCGAGCATAAGAACATCCACAAGAAGAGTAATCTCCTCACCAACCTCTTTCCTCCAAAAGTAGTTTCTGAACCTGATCCAGCCACCGGTCACTTCAACCCGTTCCCTTCGTTCCAATATAGCGGCGCCCTCCGACCTGTCTATCCGCTTTCGCCCAAGCGTACCGTTCCTCAATCCATTCCTCATCCCGACTATGCCAAGGGCGGCATTCCCATTTCCGAACAAAAGCTGTGGGGACAGCATAAGATCAAGATCCTGAACAAGGAAGAACAGGAGGGGATGCGCGTTGTGTGCCGTCTTGCTCGTGAGGTTCTTGATATTGCCGCGCGTGCGCTCAAGCCTGGTGTTACTACCGATTATATTGACGAGGTTGTCCATAAGGCCTGCGTCGAGCGCGATGTAAGCAGAACATCTTCCCGCACCTGTCTACTATTAACCGTGTCTGCTGCTGACCATCGATGGGGCTGCCAATCAGTCTTATCCATCCCCCTTAAACTACATGCACTTCCCTAAATCCGTATGCACGTCCGTCAACGAGACCATCTGCCACGGTATTCCTGATCAACGGCCGCTGGAGGACGGTGATATTGTCAACATCGATGTGACACTTTACCATAAGGGCTTCCATGGTGACATTAATGAGACCTACTACGTCGGCGACAAGGCTCTCGCAAACCCAGAGGCTGTTCGCGTCGTGGAAACCGCCCGAGAATGTTTGGAGAAATCGATCGAGCTAGTTAAGCCGGGCATGCTGTTCCGCGATCCCGGAAATGTGATTGAAAAGCACGCCAAATCTCGTGACTGCAGCGTGGTTAAGACCTACTGCGGTCATGGTATCAATCAACTCTTCCACTGCGCTCCCAATGTTCCTCATTATGCCAAGAACAAAGCTGTCGGCACAGCCAAGCCTGGCATGTGCTTTACAATCGAGCCTATGATCAACATTGGCACTCACCGTGATCGCACCTGGCCGGACGACTGGACTAGTACCACCGCCGACGGCTCGCTGTCGGCCCAATTTGAGCACACTATGTTGGTGACGGAGGATGGCGTGGAAGTCCTTACAGCCCGTTTGTCGGACTCACCGGGAGGTCCTGTGCCCATGCCGTCCACAGAAAATGGCAACTAAGTGGCCCTTGCGCAAGCGATTCCGGTTACACCGACATTTATATGAGGATTTACCATCCCAGCCATGAGAGAAAATGCCATATCTATATATACTTATCCCCGAATTCCACCCCTTTTATGAGCACCGTGGTAGCCACACAATTGTCTAGGTTGTCCCGATGCGAGTCGCTCCTTCGCATCGCGATAATCTACCCTTCGACCGGAATGTCAATGATAGTAGTCAGAACCTATGAACGGGGTTTGTCCTCCGCACCTGAAAAGCGAGATGGATGTTCGAGGTCGGTCTTATCAGCATCCAGATTGGATGGAGCTGAAGCAACCACAAAGGCGCGAATGAGCCCATTTCGATCCGCTACATCTTGGTGTGACTTTGGTTTGCTGGACAATGACGGCAAGACAACGACGTGTCATCTGGACTGACCAGTGCCCATTCCTAAGTCCTTGACTCCTCACTACTGCTGTCTGGCTGGTAACACTATACTCGATGAATGTGGGACTTGATCGTTTCTTCATACCGCATGCCGTTGCCCATGCCGTCCTGACCTGTCAATCTGGGATAATATTTATGACTTGAATTGTGCAATGTACTCTGTTCAGGTCGATCAAGTCGAGACCTCATGGCTAGTAGTAGAATCACAGAATATGTATGTAGTCAGTAGACTCAGTACCCACTACTCAATACTCAGTACTCAGTACTAGTAGTGTGTGTTGTGTACAGTACAAATTACAAACTACAAACCTTCTGTATCCTCTCACATTCTCCGCAATCTCCCTCAATGCACTCATGCTGATGGTCACCGTATGTTCCAAGTAGGTATAACGTAGCTAGCGATTTGTGATGGGCGATGGGAAGAGTGGAGGTATTGCTTTGAGTGTTTTCAATTTTGAGTACAATACTCACCTAATACTGTCATTCGTGTGGGGCTAATACACCCTCCGCCAGATTGATTTAGTTAAACTCGACTTAGTACTGGTACATATTGTGCGAATTTTACACTTCTAGTTCATAAATTTATAACTTTATACAACTTCATACTCACAGTACGTCTTGTATACCTTGTGCATGACTGTATGAGTGTATGCTCAGTCCAACGTTGCTTGTTGACCCAGAGAGTTTGTTACCAAGATAAATCCGGTGGTCGATATTATATGTGGTGGGTGTAAACTGATTTCAATATCAAGATACCACAACGTTCAACGACAGGCTAGGAGGAACTTAGCAGGAACTGGCAAGCTGCACTGCTGCAGTAATAGTAGTACTACTCAGGATTGATCGTGCAGATGTGGGGGACAAGTGGGGCTGAGAAACAACCTGAATACACGCGGGCGCCTGACCGACACCCGTCTGTTCGGCTGTGGAGCTCATGTGGGGCTCGGCAGTTCTCTCGGATATGCACATCATCAATCGTACTCGTACGAATTCTCGGCTTTCCACTGAGTTGTTGTGAAGCGCATGATATTGCAGAATGCAGACACAGTATTGAGGACTTATGTTAATTCAGGCGATCACTTGTATATTCAAGGAGTACGAATGCCGCCTCAAATCACATCTTGGGTCAAAAGCGCAGTCCTGTCCCATCAGGCCCTCTCGCACATACCCGCGCGCCACCTGCGGGTGGTCGCCTGAGCAAAGTCCTTGGTCCACTGAAGCTACAGAGTATTGTATGTACCGAGTTGAAAATTGGACCATTCCGACTCCCTTGAACTACCCATATGTGTGGCACGGTCTACAGTTAGAGAAGACTGTGCAGAAACGCTTGTGTAGTCGAAGGAAAGCCCCACCTGGGGCATCGAGTCGGTTGCTTCGCCTCCGGACTCGGAGAGCCTCTCCACATGTGTGACCTGAAGATTGGTTAGTGTGGTGTTATTAGCTCCCTCTACTAAACTACGCTCTACTTCCTCTTTCCCTTCTTCCCCCGCCCCCCATCACTCTTGTTTTCATCCCTGAGCTCATACTCTCTCATTTGCGCCGATTGGAAGCTCCTGTATAAGTGTCATTCTTTGCTGCTTTCTTTTGTGGCAAGCTTCTCATCAATCACATCAATAACTTGACCCAACTGAGGCCCGGAAATCCCCCCATTCTCCGTTATGTCTCGTCCACTTCACAGCGCACCGCCTTTCCGGGCCGAGCAAATGGGCTCTCTGCTCCGGCCCAGCAACCTGCTGGAAGTGCGTTCAAAGATCCGGGAAACGGGCATCACGGAAGAAGAAGCTGGTCTCCCTGCCGTTGAGAAGAAGGCCATCCACGATGTGGTGCAAGTTCAGCGCGATCTCGGTTACAAGGCTGTCACGTCGGGTGAATTCAACCGTACCCGTTTCTGGGGCTTGATGTGGGATGAATTCCAAGGTGAGCCATTTGCGAGTTTTCGATGTGAGAGAGGGAGAATCTCTTCTAACATTCGACACAATCCGTAGGTGTTACCCGCCTGCAGAATGCCGACGCCTCCATGTTCCGACTGTACCACCCTGACGTCGTCAGTCTAATCGAGAAGGACCACCATGTCATGCCCGGAGAATCAGTCATTGCTGGCTCGAAATTGTCCTGGAGTGTCGAGCATTCTACTTCGAACCTGCATGAGCTCAAGCTTGTCCAAGCAGCCCTCCCGGAAAACGAATGGGGCAACATCAAGCTCACCATGATTACCCCCGCTTGGTTCCATATGCGCTATAAGCAGGGCAAAGCGTACAGCCCCGAGGCCTATGCGAATGACCAGGAGTACTTCGCCGGAGTGGCTGAGGTCTACCAGGCCGAACTCGAGGCACTGTACAAAGCTGGTCTGCGGAATGTGCAATTTGACGATCCAGGCATGGCGTACTTCTGCTCCAAGTCTTTCCGTCGGGGCTGGGAAGAAGACAAGGATAACATTGGCAGTGTCGATGATCTCTTCGATGCCTATGTGAAGCTTTACAACGACTGCCTGGCCAATATCCCTGCTGACATGCATACCGGTATCCACTTGTGCCGTGGTAACTTCATCGGTGGCCGCCACTTCGCCGAGGGTTCCTATGATATAATCGCAAAGAAACTGTTCGAGAACCTCAATGTGGATACATTCTACCTTGAGTATGATACCGAGCGCGCTGGCGGTTTTGAGCCCTTGAAGTTCCTACCCAAGAACAAGAACGTGGTGGTGGGAATTATCAGCACGAAGCTACGTGAGCTGGAGGACAAAGAAACGATGAAGGAGCGAGTCTACAAGGCTGCTGACTTTGTAGCCTCTGGTAGTGGCGAGACCCGCGAGCAGGCCTTGAAGCGCATCTGCATCAGTCCACAGTGTGGCTTCAGTACTCATGAGAGCGGCTATCCCTTGAGCTTCGACGATGAGAAGAACAAGTTGAAGCTCGTCCGGCAAATCGCCGACGAGATCTGGGGTGAGGCCTAAGCGGAATGAGAGCACTTCAGCATGATCTTTCCTTTCATTTTCTCTCGATCATTCAACACTGATGAGAAAACATTGATGTGACACGACGACATGTAATCCCTTTCAACATTTTGCACTCGCCTTCGGCTTTCAGTCGAATTGATCAGCATGTACATACTTTTTTCTTTCTTTTTTACATATGCGAAGACCCCATGACTCAATTGAGGATAACCTTTCAGATTGATCTCGTTCCAGATTAACTACTCTTATTGGAGAGCTGCGCATGGTCTGTCGTGCCAATTCCCTCTCTGCATTTCTCTTGCACACGACTCTGTCCTCGCAGCAAAACGCGCTGTGCGATCGGAATAAACGAAGTCACATCTGATTAGATCGAGCTATTGATCGAATCGTAATGCCGCGACAACCGGTCATTGCCGAGGGGGCGCCGGCGTCCGGTCCGGGCAGTTGCCCAACGTGCAAAGACCCGCGATGATTCGCCAGACTGTTGATGGTGGAACTGAAAGTAGAGAGGGGAAGCTGCTTATCATCACGTGCCACTATATGGGGGCTTCGGTGGAACAAGCAGCAGCTTCGCTATTTCTTCGGCTTTTCAAATATTTTCCATCAGGTGTAACTTGAGACCTTTGTCAGACTCTGAAAGGGGTGGCTCGTACTGGTGTGTATCTCTAAGATGGCGTTGAACCAGGCTATCACGGAGAATTCCCCGCTGTTGGGCGAGACCATCGAGAGTATACCTGCATCAACTGGAGCGATTGCTCAGCCAGATGCGGAGTCTGGAGAGCCCAGGAATTCGGAGCAACAGGCAAAAAACCCCTTTCCTGATGCGAGAAAACAGCTCCGATACGTGCTTCCTGCGATTTCTCTTGGGGTATGTCAACGCTTGATCTATAATTGAATCTTCATGTATTTGCTGGCAGGCTACGAAAATGGGGGTAGTTGACCAAATCGGACTAATAAAGCTGTGAATGTAGGTCTTCTTATCAGCAGCAGATCAGACCATTATCATGGCCAGCTATGGTCAAATTGGAAGTGATCTCAAAGCGCTCAATTTGACTAGCTGGATAGCAACCTCGTATTTTTTGACTTTGACTTCGTTTCAGCCGCTTTACGGAAAATTGAGCGATATTTTTGGCCGTAAAGCCTGTCTGTTGTCTGGGTATGCCATCTTCGGAATTGGATGTCTCGGCTGTGGTCTGGCCCGCAACATCAATGAGCTTATCGCTGCTCGAGTATGTCTTCCCACACCTGCGGGAAGCATTCTGAATTCATTGCCGGATTAATACTCACATGATCAATATACAGGTCTTTCAAGGAATCGGCGGTGGCGGTATGACCACGGTCGTAAGCATCTTGATGAGTGATCTAGTTCCCTTGCGTGATCGAGGACTTTGGCAAGGAATCATTAATCTCATCTATGCCACTGGCTCGGGTGTTGGAGCGCCTCTGGGTGGCATTCTTTCAGATTATCTTGGCTGGCGTTGGTAAGGACCTCCTCGTCTCTAATTCACGCCGAGAACTTCTAATGCGATTTGAGTAGGGCTTTCCTCGCTCAATTTCCGATGTGTATTCTGGCTGGGATCATGGTCTCGCTGCTGCTCAATCTACCTGCGCAAGAAAGCTCTCACTGGAAGGATAAACTCCGCCGCGTCGATTTCCTCGGGGCCATTATCTTGGTTGGTGCTGTGTTAGGCTTTCTTTTGGGGCTTGATCGTGGCAGCAACGTTTCTTGGTCTCTACCCTTGACAATTATTTCACTGAGCGTGTCGGTGGTCCTTTTTATCGCCTTCATTCTGGTCGAAGTATATTACGCTGCAGAACCTTTTGCTCCGGGTCACATCATTTTCAGCCGCACCTTTTTCGCCCTTTACTCGTGCAACTTCTTCAGTTTCGGTGGGTGGTATGCCGCCTTGTTCTACCTTCCGCTGTACTTCCAGGCTGTGGACGGAGTCTCGGCGACAGCTGCTGGTTTGCGCCTTCTACCCTGCATTTTGTCCGGTGTTTGTGGGTCACTTCTTGCTGGGTTCATCATGAGATGGACCGGAAAGTACTTCTGGTTGACTGTTGTTGCTTACGGCCTACTCACGGCTGGTTGCTCCATGGTCTATATGTTCTCGGGTGGTATCTTGTCTACCGTCATTCCAATGATCATCGGAACAGTCCTTTCGTCATTCGGCAACGGAATTGGTGTCACGTCGACACTGGTTGGCTTGAGTGAGTCAATCCCTAAGTTCATGGTTTACTAAAAAATTGGCTAATGAACGTAACAGTATCAAACGCCACTCCGGAAGATCAGGCCGTCGTAACTGCCTGTTCATATCTTTTCCGGTCTTTGGGATCTGTCATAGGGCTCTCACTTTCATCCACTGTCGTCCAGCAGCTGCTTAGAGAGGGTCTTCGGGAGAGTCTTCGAAACAGTAAAGAGATTGATCAAATCGTGGAAGGTGTCCGCGAAAGCCTGGACTATATCAAAAAGCTTGACCCTCAAGTGGCGCACATTGTTCGTGGGTGCTATGGCTCTGCTGTCAATACGGGATTTGCCTTCATCATCGCCATTGTGTCTCTTGCCCTCTTCAGCGCCTTTTTCGTGCGGGAAGCCAAGCTCAATCGATGAGCATACGGTTGAGTCTGCTTCTGCCCTTCGTTGATTCGGGCTGTGGCTGCCTTGTATCTGGCCAATGAATGACGACGCGATACGAAAATCAATCTTGGGAAGTGTGAATCGCTCTAAGTGTGTCACGGAGACATCTGTTTGTATCTAGAATGAGAAGATAATCATAGAACGGATATGTGTGAACGAGAAAAGCCGATCAAAAGGGCGCTCTGAGCAGAGGTTTGTAATCTGCCTTCCTTCAGGTCCCGGGAAAGATGATAACATTCATGGTAGTCCGGTTTCTAGCTTTTCTTATTTGTGGTCACTACTTACATGCTACAGACAGTCACGGTCTGAGTTCCATATGCCACATGACTCTAGGGTTGCCCATGTCAGAAATTGGGCGACGCAGGGTCATACTTGACACCTGAAATTTCGGGCCTCTGCACGGCAACACTGGCGGAGCTATGGCCCCAAACTATCCGTGAAACACTTCCATTGTAGCTCCTGTCACCATCAGCGTCAGGTTTGTTTCGCTTACCTTGCTGGCTTCCTTGGAAGCCTTTCAGCAAATGGAGTGACATCAATATTTGTGTTCTGATGTGCCCGACTGATGTGAGGCTATTCGCGCAGCTACAAATAGCTTGACCTCCGCACAATGTCCGAGCCGCGCTCTGGGCCGGTGTCGTTGACACGATATCGGCCCATTCTTTACCTTTTCACCGGCGTCGCTGCCGCATATGCGGTCATCTACATTCGCAACAGCGTCACATCCTCGCGCCCTCCCCGGCCGAGTACAGTGCGCCGCCGAAATGCCATGCGCCGGACCAGAGGACGAAGCGACGAGAGACCTAGACTCGAAGATACACCGTCGTACCGCGCAATCTCTCATCTCGAGCTTTTGGAGCGCGAAAACGGCGTCTATGGAACATTTCGAATCGAGACAGAGGATGGAAGACGGGTGGAAAGCGGGCTCCTCCCTTCACTGCTATCGACTCGTGACCAGTTGATGGAAGAGGTTGGTGTTCTCCCAGCCCATGCGGAGCGCATGCGCGAGATGATGGAGGACACCTTTCTGAGGTCTTTCCTGGCGCTCGATTTCCCACCGACACATACTTTGCCCGAGGGCAGTCGTGAACGAGCGTATCTTACGGCACAGCTGGAACAGAGAGGAATCTCAGCGAGCGGGATTGAGCGGGCACTGGCGCGTTTCAACGCGGACGACAATTACGGCGAGGAGCTCCGTCGGCGCCGTCAGAACGGGGACCGTGTGACATTGTCAACTTCGACGTTTCCCCTTGCGAATGAGACAGATCAGAACCAGGAAGGCGGGGAGACGGTCGTTGATGATCAGAGTGTATTTTCCTGGAGGGGGGGCAACCACGAAGCGTCTCCTACGCGGGAGGGCCAGAATCTGTTGAATCTGCTCTATCATATCGCGGAAGACCAAGCCCGGCGAGATGGGTACATTCACCGTGGAGTGACCTGCAACAGTTGCGGGGCCATGCCTATTCAGGGAATACGCTATCGCTGTGCCAATTGCATTGACTATGATCTTTGCGAGACATGCGAAGCCATGCAAGTTCACGTCAAAACACATCTTTTCTACAAAGTCCGCATCCCGGCTCCATTCCTGGGCAATCCTCGTCAATCGCAGCCAGTCTGGTACCCCGGAAAACCGCTGAGTATGCCACGAAGTCTGCCACGGCCACTCGCCAAGCGACTGATACGAGAAACTCAATTTGAAAATACTGAGATCGATGCTCTCTGGGACCAATTCCGCTGTTTGGCAAGCCATGAATGGGCAGACGATCCAAACAAAATCTATATGGCTATTGATCGCAAAACATTTGACCGGTGCTTCGTTCCCAATACCTCTGTACGCCCACCTCCTCCGAGCCTTATCTATGATCGCATGTTTGCATTCTACGATACCAACGGGGACAACCTCATCGGATTCGAGGAATTCTTGAAGGGCCTCGCTAGTCTCAACAACAAGAGCACTGATGAACGACTGCGTCGTGTCTTCCGTGGTTATGACATTGATGGCGACGGATATGTTGAGAGGAAAGACTTTCTCAGAATGTTCCGAGCCTACTATACGCTGAGTCGGGAGTTGACCCGGGACATGGTTGCAGGGCTTGAGGATGACTTTTTAGATGGTGGTGCGCGGGATGTAATCCTTGGCAGCCAGCCTATCAGCTCTGCTTTCCCTGGCACTATTCCTGCGGGTGAAGCCTCAAGGGTTGGCGAAGGCAAGCGGGTGAACGCGGACGGAGACATGGAGATCGTTGACAACAGTGGCATCACTCGTCCGGACAGCGCTGACATTGGCGATCGATATTCGGTAATCGGTGACGCCTCTGTTCGACAGCAATTTGGTCGCACAAGACCGTTGTTCCCATCCGGTGTGCGGCTGCCAAATATCGTGGTTGAGCCCCGGCAGCACGATGACACCGAGGGTGGCGAGGTTGGAGAGAACAATGACCCAGAAGGAGAAAGACGAGAAGAGGCTCTTCAGGCCGGTGAGTTGAACGATGAAGTCGTATGGCCGCGATTGTCCTCAGTCCAGCCAGAGGACATTGTAAATATTATCGGAAGGTACGTGCCCCCGGAGATCACCAACCCAACCAGAGCACGCCTTGTGACGATCATTTTTGACAGGTTCCGAGATAGCGAAGAAAGACGTTTCGAAGAAGCGCGTCGTAACGGGATTGACGAGCGTTGGCGTCGGAGGGCGTTCTACACCGATGAAGAAGACGGTGCTACGATCCCTGACGGCTACCGCAGAGATCCCGCGTTTGATGATTACGATGATGATGCGAGCGACGGCACGTCTGTTGACGATCCGGCCGCTCATGAATCACATCCTCCGTCTCCTCGTTCAAGGTCCTCTTCCAAGGTACGATTTGAGGATGAAATACCCGACGATTACGATGTTCGATCCAATCCCTCGACATCGTCTCGTAGCATTCCTGTGGGTGAGAGATGGGGTGGCTTCGAAATCCCGGATGTTGAAAGAGATGTCGGCAAAGAGTACCTCTATCAAGTGACACAGCAAGGCTTCAATGAGCTTCTCGACATTCTTTTCAAGGAAAAAGAAGACTTGATGATGGAGGTATATCGCACGCGCGCTGACCGGAAGACCTGGGCACATGAAATCGAGCAGTATGAAAGCGTTGCTCAGAAACCCCCACCCAAAGGGGCAGAAGCTCTCTTCCCAAAGAATGAAGAACACTTGCATGAGATGACCCAAGAGCGTTCGCTAGATGATCTTCTCAGTCGTGCCGGCTACTCTGTCTCCAGCCCGACCTTGGAGCCGGCTGATGCTCAACCCGTATTGGCTCCCACATTGTCACCCCGCGCGATAACTTCAGGCAGTGGTGTACCATCAGTATCTGCGTTCAATTCTCATGTCAGTCGTGGCCCTGAGGTGTATACTCCTCTTGGACGACTTGAGGGCATTGATGGCGGCCACGATGAGGACGATTGGACAGACTCAGTGACCAGTTCCATCGGGGAAGTAGACCAAATGAGTATGTCTGATCATGTCACTTTCGAGGAGTCAACCGACATGGCGCCTGAGGACGTCTCCGAGCCATCATTCGCTTACGATCCAACTCTCCCGCAATTCCGCCCCGAGGCAGACAGCTTTGATGAACCTGCTGCAGTGATCGTCGACCGCAGTGTTGGTGGGATCGATTCCCACCGTCTCCCGAGTCAACTTGTGCTCCTACCAGAAAGCACCATCTCCCTCCCTGCCCCATCTTCTCCCCATCTATCCTCGACAGACGCCGAGGAAACCGCACCAAAGCTTTCTCCCTCGCCCATGCAGCCACTCCCTCCACCATCAGCTTCTTTCACCCCGACCCAAGAGAGCTCTGTCCCACAAAGACCGGGGCCTCGGACTCTCGCCCGATGGGCGTATTTCAATCGCCTTGAGCGCGAAGCCAAGGAGCGTGGTGGCAGTGGCGCCAAGCTCAGCTTCGAAGAATTCAGTAAACGTATGATGAACGACAAAGGTCGTCGTCTGGCGTTTGTCGCCTCGTGGATCGAGATGGCCAGTTTTTAAACCTACGTTCTGCTCGTGCGTGGCCCGTCTGACATGAGACTGAGAAGCGACTAGCATCCTCAACGCACTGATTGACCGCATTTGTCAACTATCGTGCTCTTTTTCCTCATTGCGGTGCTGTTTCGCTTCGATATGTGCCGCCTCTTTGCTGGCCAGGTTATGTACTCTGTGCAACTTCAAACAGATGCACTTCTTTAACAGCAGGCACATCAAATTATTATTTCTGTTCGGCGCGACGCCCAAGAGTGGCTTCGGCAGAAGTCCACGTCATGTTAGATCATCAAATATGAAAGCAAGACGCAAGATTTGAAGATAGCCTTTGAAAAATAACCCCCGCTGATTTTCCAAGACTGCCTGAAGGGGTTTCTCCCATCTCAAGCTCGTAGCTTTGTACTCTCCAGACGTCGACTTGAAACTCGTCACAGACCTCCTAAAGGTAAGATGTAATATTTTGGGAGTATGACGGTCATTCGAACCCACATCGGCATCACTTTTGTACTTTTGGCTTACTGGATCGTCTTGCCGCAGGTAGGTTTCTCCTTGCCTGGTGTCTCTTTCGCGAGGAAAGTAAACACCGGGGTGCGACGACCGAAGCTAGAAAAGTGAAGCTGTTCCCAGCGGTTTAAATTTTTCCTGTTGAATCTTGGTAGGAACATACAAAAGGGCCCAAGTAATGACCTTCGAAGACATCATTCAAAGATATCAGCCTCCTGATAACATCAGAGGCCAAATTCAGAAGGAGTCTTAGGATCCATTGTTTCCAGTCTGGTACCTTTTTTCGAGTAACGGACTGTGGAGCCTTATCGTCGGAGAAGATGACTATGCGAAGATATGCAGAAAATGAAGACGGAGGAAGGGTATAACAGTATTAATTTTGATGTTCCTCAAAAGCCTGTGTATCGATCAGTAGTCTCATCTCATAAGAATCAAGTGAGGTATGCAGGTATACCTTCATATTACCCGTCAAAGAGCCGGTGTTTTTGTTTCTCTGCTCGGCAGTATTCTACTCAAAGGGTGAATATTGGGCCGGCCTCGGACCGCCATCTTCGAGTTAGGTAGTCATGCCCCCCTATGTGGCGGAAGTGATGTTGGCATCTGCCGACACACATAGTCACGATCACAGTAGGTGACAACCAAAGTGAGGTATTGTCGTGTCAAAAGTAGGGCAATCTCAATTGCTTTAGCCGCTCGCGTCTGTTTCGTCAACTCTCATCCTTGAATGACAGTAATCGGCCATCTCATCAATGTCATAAGTCTCTGATCTCCTAGGCCGTCGATCAAGGTCTTAATCTTGTGAATTTCAATGTCACATCTCTCGCCATAGCACCAGATTGCGTCCATAATGGCAACTGTCAAGTGCAGGTGTGCTAAAAGAACTAAGCTCACCCCTCCCATGATGTCGAGATTCCCTTGCGAGGCTTGCGAGGCAAGAGAAACCACGAACTGTTCCGGGAGAGAATGTGGCCACCCTGCAATCGCTGCATCTTCGAGATCTGCGTGAACTTCAAGGTCGGATGATGCTTGATCGTTAAGTGGTTTCATGTGTAGGATAAAGACTATTCTCATGTACAAGTCTTCAACCACGCCTATGACTTCTTCGTACGTGTCAAGGCGGCTTTTACCTCCACTGTCACTTTGACCGGAGTGCGCACTGGCAACTGATGGAGAGCTCTCCGTCATTTGGTCAGATCCAGCAGCAACTCGGAGGCTATCGTTGAGGGCACGCAATTCAGATACTGCGTAGCTGGCACCTGCGGCAAAACTTCGAAGTCGCCTGGAATGGATATGTCGGCTAGGCATCACGCCCGAACAAAGTTTGGCTTTGCAGAGCTTCCAATCTTCATTCGAATTGGTGAAATGTAGCAAGGGCCTCAGGCGACAGGTCCTTAAGGTTGGCCAAAACTGTCCCAAAATGGATGTGACGCCGCGAACTAGCTGAAGTGATTGAATATGAAGCGAGCCGATCGTCAGAAGCGAAGTATCTGATCCAAGGACGGAGGGAAAGCTGTGATCCAGAAATGCATATGCGGATGGCTCTAGGTCCCTGATTCCAAAGGATGCAAATCCAAATGCTGCCACCAGCATGGACCCGGCCAGCAAGACTTCCGCATCAGGCTCACTAGGGTCGCAGAGGGCTTTGTGTAAGCCCGCAAGCCCTTGCTGATGGTGTTCCATAATGAACCGAAGCTCCGGTACCTTTCTTGCGGTGGAGCGGTTCGAGCACACTTGGCCATCGTGAGTAGAAGGATTTCTCATTGTCAAAATATTCAGGCCAGCCAGAGCCAAGACAAGATGCATCAAAAACTCGTTTTCTGCAGCCAGTTCTGGGATGACTTGCTGCCAGGCTGCAGTTTTATTTTGATTCAATGTCATCTTTTTTGAGGTGTGCAAAATGTAGTGTTGGAGCAGGTAAAGATCACCCATGTTGAGGCCAGATGTGGACTGACTGTCGACATTTTGAGCTTCTTTAGGAGAGATTGCGTTAAAATGCAAAGGGCGAAGCGGTATATTTGGTATCTCTGGGTGGAATTGAGGCTGATCCCCTTCAATTGAGGATGTTTCTCGAGAGAGACGCAGCTGTCGTTTCCTTTGGTCACGTGTGCCCCGTGAATCAGGGTACACGCACTCCTCATCTCGTACTGCACAGGCACTGCACGTCGGCCGTTCCTCGTCACACTGCTCACATTAGTTATACTGGTCCGTCGATTTTAATTTATCGATCGATGATCGACTCACTTTAACATGACGCTTCTTGCAGGTAAAGCAGCCATTTCTGGACTTGGTATGGCTGATCCGCTGCTTTGGCCGAAACCGGGAGCTCGCCGGGCTTCGAGGCACGGCATGAGCTTCCATCGCGCGCGTTGACAATGGTGGTAGATGCGCGCGTGAGACTTCTAGACAGGTCACATCATCTCATCTGCGTATGATCGGCGCAAATACGTAGTAGATCCGAAATTCCTGCGTCCAGGGGGTGGAAGCGAATGACAAGAAGTGGAGCGGAGATTGTCAAATTTAAGGTTAGGAAGGCGGCTCGAAATTTGGTCAACCTTTGAAAGAGGGCTGAATGTTTCCGAAGCATGTCAGTCTTGAGCGAAACAACTGTTGCGAACAATCATGAGATGCACGGAGCCAAAACAATCTGCTGGGCTTAAATCTTTGGTTTACTACGCAGTTGAGAACTCATTATAGAGAGAAAAGGACCTTTAATTGTCGTGAAAATGTTCTGAAGCTAAATATGCACGTCTATAATCAATCCAACCTGCAACGCCGTAACCCCCTGACCCATGATTTGCAACGCCGAAAACCTTCTTCAAACCCCATAAGCCGTTGATTTTTGCGTCGAGATGTCCTCCTCAGTAGTGGACATGAGTTGGAGCGAACTATCCCGAGTACCCCTTTCGCGGCCCAGGAATGAGCCCGGATAAATGATCACCAGCACACTGCCCGCCAAAGCCATCAGACAGGCATCGAATATGTACAAGAGGTATTCTCTCTTCATAATGTACCCATCATTTCCTTCGACAAACTCGACCACCCGAAAGATCGATCGCACCAGGATAAGGAAGCAAGCCGCGTAAAGAGCCCACATGATCGGTTCCCAGTTCTTGCCCAGTCCCTTCATGGCATGCGACTCATTCCGGGAGTTTCTCTTGACGCGCCAGTGAAACACAGCTGACACGATCACAAAGAATCCGAAGAAGAGTAGTTGAATGACGAGACCACCGATCACGATGTTGGCACCCATGTTCATGGCGGAAACTGATCCGGCGGCCATATATCCACCACCTATTAATAGAGCGCGTATTTGTTAGCGTACAGAGACATCAAGATAGGGCTCGGGGCCGTTCTGCATACCTCCACACTGGAGAAGGAACGAGATCACATCCCCAATCACGAATATTTTGGTCAGGAACCTAACGGGCACGAGTGAGTACTCTTGACAGTCAAGACCAACAATCACTCTGCCGAGAGACATATAGATCGAGGCGGCAAAAAGGGGCGGCGCGACCAGGATCAGCATGGTCTGGACGATGTATGGACCCAGAGCTTTGGTGTCATAGTGCGAAAAGACTCGAGCAATGTACCCGGCGCATTCGACTAATGCAAGTGAACATCTGAATTAGCTTTCAGAATGGGCAAGGCGAAAACCCGTTCGAGCCCGAGGGAACGACAGATAGGATGCTCACATAGTAGACCGATGATGAACGGAATAAAGAAATAGGTGCGATTCTGCCATAGCCGGAAGCTGTGTACCACGGTGATTCCCAAGAATATAGCAGCGAAAATGATCGCCGCCACTATTGACGGAGTGTAGCGGTAGAGCGCAAAGTCGATGCCCCCGTTACTGCTGGAGGTGGACATGGTAGCGGTCGGTCGGCTGGAGCCAGAAGTTACAAGTTGATGAGCGAGAGACGCAAAGATGCCACAAGACGTTGGAGAATGGTCGTTCTGATGAACAGCGTTGGTACAGACTAAATATAAGTCGATCCTCCTCGAAATACTAAAATAAGGTGTCTTTGACTCGGCTTCGGTTCGATTTTTCTATTTCTTTTTTTTTTTTTTTTCACATTCGGTGCCGAAACATGGATCTAGAATATCGGCGAGAATCTATGCGAGAAGCCGGACACGAGAATGCGAGAACACGGGCGATCAAAATACGAGATTGCGAGGATACGAGCGGGGCGAGTCTTAAGTGACGATGAGATGCAAACTTTGTTGAAACCCTAGCGCCACATCCGTGATTTCCTTGCAACTCGCTTTTACTTCGTCGAAGTATTTCACCCTTCTCCTTCTGTGCTGTACACGGTACATTGAACACTACTCTGCTTGTCAAACTACTACTCGTTCTCTTCGAAAGCGAGTAGTCTCGCTCCTGGACGCACTTGATCTACCCGGAGGGCAAACAGGATGAAATCCCACATGCCTTGTGGAGCATCCCGCGGGCCGTGATCCGTAGATGCAAGTTCTGTGTCGATGGTGGTGTTCATCCTTTGAAAGGCTCGGAAGCGGGCCCCTTGTCACTATCGAGCGCTTCTATGTGGTCATTAAGATTTTTTTAAGTGTGGCGAATCTAGCGATACTCCAAGTGATTCGGGTGCTTGCGGCAAACAAGATGAAGAAGTGGAACTCTGCTACTCCCCGTGATCCGGGCGGATCCTGGAGCACGCTTCGGACGGCGATCGACCAAATATTATTCAACGAGAAATGAAGGAGCCTTGCACGTGTGGATATTCGAGCCCTATCGCTAGTGGGCTTGGGCATGGATCGACACCGCGGTCAAACCTGCTACTAGCCTGGATGTGGCCCATGGTTCCTGCACTAATTACTGAGCATAGCCGCTTTGAGAAGAAGTGTCGGTATCAAGTACGTGTCGGATGGTCCGTAGTATAGGACTAGAAGAGAGTTTGACGAGAATCGTTCAACCCTGTCAAACCTCGAATAACGCCGAGGTTTACCCTCAAGTGCGCAACTCGATCGGATGAATATAGAAACACTTCATGGATCGTAAACGTCACAGAGCCCAGGGGATCCCATCTGGAATTAGTCGGATACGCAGGAGTTTCGGGTCCGTTGCCACCGTAGAGTGGTTGAGTCTCGTTTCAAACCTTTCTCCACGTACCGTGATCCATCGGTATCATCTTGAATGGATTGAGCTTGGAATAAAAGCAGGTGAAATTCAAATTCGAGGGAAAAGCAGCCGGTTAGCAGACACGGCTGCGGAGATTCCGTTCAAGAGAACAGTCAGCAAAACCCTGGATATTCCCGTGGTTTTTGGGAATATCGCTCCCAGAACGTAGGTGAGGTTTATTCCTGCGCGGATCCGCATGTTCAAGACCGGAAGACGACCTGGACCAGAGATAGTCATCCTTGGCCCTATTGACATCAGTGGATCTTCGTAGGCGTCAGATACGTATCGCTTCAGCACCAAAAACATTTATCGGAAACAGTCAGGGTTCTCTGCGGGAACTCTGTGGCTGAATGGGCTAATTCTGGGACACGTCCTGAATGATGCTCTACGGAAAGGTCTCAAAGCCTTGGCTTTGAGAACCATCCAGACGGCGTGATATCTACTGAAGGATATCCGTCAGCAGGCCAATTTACAGTGCCCGTTGATCCAAAGCCGAGGCCGGAACGCGAAGATGGGAGCTGGATGGGTAAAGGACTGCAATATGAGCTCACCCAATGATAAACAAGGTCAATTCGTGGTTTTCCCGGCTAGCAAAGACTCTGCGTTGAAGCCCAAAATCGCCACTGGGCAGGAACAGAGTCAAGACCCGACTTGTAGTGCCGGAGGTTTACTACAACGCTAAGGGTGATGCAAAAAGAAGACGAACAATGCAGTTTCTCGACGCTCCATTCCTCACAATGCGCGTGGGAAAGAGCCGCGCTAGCGAGTTAGCTGCATAGATCCTTGGGGTCACACGTGGTTGCAATGCTTCGATCCCATACTGACACGACATGTAAAGATCCGCGGTGAATAAATGCCGACTCCCCACATGAATCTGCTCAATCTGATCAAGTGCATATGCAGTGCACCAAGAGGATTGACTTCCGGCACTTGGGTCAACCCCTTCTGGGTTTGCATTCCCGTATTGACACTACGTCGCAGATCTCTGCCGGGACCAAGGAATCTTCCAGCCGGACCCGAACTCGTGAAGAACGACACTAACGTCACGAAATGTGTAGGCATGTCCCTCGGCCACAAGATTCGGTATAAAAGATGTCTCATCCGCTCGGTCTGGTCGCACAATTCATTATTCAGTTTACCTTGACCCGCCAGCTTCATCTCCCGTCTTGAGATGCGTTCATTTGGACTAGGCCTAGGGCTTCTTGCCATTGGCCCAGCTGTGGCTGCGTCTTTATCTCCAAAATGTCAGTCGCTCAAGGCGGCCACTGGTTCCGAATCAATATTAGAATCCGCAAATGCTTCGTTTCCAGAATATCAGCCTCTTATGATGACTTCTGACGCGAAGTTCAAGCCGAAACCTATCAAGCCAAACAAGTCCTTCAAGCTGTCATCAAATGGTAAAACCCCTGGTGTTATGGTGCTCGATTATGGCAAGGATGTCGAAGGATATGCAACCTTCCATGTGACGAAAATTTCAGGCGATACTTCGGTCTTTGAAATGAGTTACAGTGAGAGTCGGGCCCTACTCGACAAGTACATGGTCAGTTTCACTCCTATGCCAAGGACAAATGGCAACGGCTAGTGGTGGTTGAACATTGAGGAAATCCTAACTGATTTTCTTCTTGTCAGGCTGATGGCCCTCTTCCCTTGTCTGCCGCGATGGACACATATCGCATCAACCGTTTCAATGTGACCCAATCGAAGACTTACAGGAGCCGTCTAATCCAGGGCGGTTTGCGTTATCAGAAGTTGAACCTATCCAGTGCAGGAGAATTGGAGCTATCTTTCGTTGGGTTCTTGCCATCTATTGATCCGATCTCGACATTCGATCTTCCTGGATCCTTCGAGTGCTCTGACACAGTACTCAACCGAGTCTGGGCTGCCGGTGCTCGCACGGTTCAGCTCACGGAAATTGTCGCCAAAAGCTTGCCGGATTTCTGGGTTATCACCGACGAAGGTGCGTTGGTCGACAGCCTCGCCCCGCAGCCGTTCGCGCAAGATTATGCCTCGGCTATGACGGTCTATGATGTGGACTTCGCGGTCAAGCCCATTTCCAAGGGATTCGGTTTCACCGTTCTCAGCGACACACTCGGTACTGGAATCTATCTCTTTGTGGACGTAGCTAATGGGACCATCTCTGCCCATGCCGGCTCCACCGAGTTAAACTCACCTGCATTGGCGTCTGCCGCTCTTCCCAAATCAGTCACTCTGAACAAATGGCATGACGTGCACTGTGTGGTGAATCTCACTCAGATTTCAGTTGAGATTGACTCCCTCCCTGTGCTGAAATTCTCCCAGACCTCATCCTTCTACGGGTCCTTCGGACTAGGCGCATCGTACACACATGCGGCAATTTTCACAAACGTCTCCTTGACAGCCTTTGGCCAGCAGATGTATCATTCCTCGTTGACTGATAAGTCTGCCCTGGAGGATTTCCAACTGGGCACCAACCCATTGTCAGTCAGCGTTGATGGCTCCCGCCGCGATCGCATTGCCTATGCAGGCGATCTTGACATTGCCGCTGGCGCGACCTTTGCCAGTACTCATGGCCTCGATCATATCAACGGCTCGATTGCGCTTCTAGGCTCGTTCCAAGAACTCCCAGGCTTCTTTGTTCCCACTGCCAAAGTCCAGCAGCCACCCAGGACCTCAGATATCCAGGCCAATGTTACCGGTCTGCTGGGCTATTCATTCAGCCTCGCCAGCGCCATGGCTCAAAATTACTCTCACACGGGCGATAATTCTTTTTTGAAGCACTGGGCGCCCCGCGTCGCTCGTCTATTTGACTGGGCCAACTCACAGGTTCTGCCCAATGGTCTCTTCAATGTCTCCAACGCGATGTTTGGTGGTGACTGGAACTACTATGATCCTACCCTGGATGGCGTCGTGGCCAAATTCAATCTCATCTATGCATATTCTTTGGCTCAGTGGCTCCCCTTCATGGCCGATGGCGGCTTGAATGCCACTTTGTACATGTCTCGCCTCAACTCCTTGCAAAGCGCAATCAATACCCATCTTTGGAGCGAATCTCTTCAGGCATTCTACCTTGCTGACTCCCACAAGGACTTCTTCTCACAGGAGGCCAACGCTCTGGCCATTCTTAGCGGAACCGCCAATACGGCACGCAGCAATACGATTCTTTCCACCATGGGTCGTGACCTGTTCGTCCCTGCTGGCGCTCTCGCCTTCTCCAATGCAAGTGCTAGCAGCGGTTGGGCTCAGAAGATCAGTCCTTACGCGTCTGGGTATCATTTGAAGGCTGCCTTCCACGCCAATGATACTTCAACAGCCAAATATCTTCTCAACACTCTCTGGGAGATGATGAGTGATCCCAAGCATACCAACTACACGGGCTGCGTATGGGAAACCCTCAATGCGGACGGTTCCCCCGGTCTTGGCGATTCCACTTCCTTCTGCCATGCTTGGGGTGCGGGACCAACCGCAGATCTGTCAGAATATGTGCTCGGCGTGCAAACGGTCACTCCTGGATTCAAAACCTGGAAAGTCGCTCCACAGAGCCTGGATCTCCACTGGGCCCGAGGTGCGTATCCGACGCCCCTTGGCCCTATTCACGTGGATTGGCGCTTCGACCCCCAGGGACTCTTGTCGATGAAAGTCACTGCGCCGGCAGGCACTCAGGGTGCCGTATACCTGCCCAGCAAAATGACCAAACCTCTGAAAACATGCCATGTGGCCGATGGCGACATGGTGAGCAAGACTTGCGCAGACTCGTTTGCTGTGCGTGGGGGCCAGACATTCACCTTCAAGCAATTGAGTTGATTTATTCGAGAAGGCAAATCTGATGATCTACAGCTACAGAGGTAGGTGCAGCTGTAGATGATGTGAGAGGGATGAGGGTGGGATTGACTAGCGAGGAGAGATTCTATCTAGGCTGTGGACTGCGGTGAGACGGCAGTATCACATGCCATGCGAACAAAATCAAGTAGATTGAACATGCTAGTATGCCAATCGCATCATCTTTCACCGTGCAAGGCATTTACCGGCATTTCCGACCTTCAGTCTGAGGCTGTGGTGCGCGGGGACTAGTCCTCGCCTTGAGATGGCGATCTAGCTCTGCTTGCTTCGGCTTCCAACCTAACGAGGACGTGATCCAGCTGGGGTCCTCATTCGGGCATTCCTGTACCGAGAGGTCAAACGTTCGTGATTTGACTCGGAGTTACAACTTTACCGCCCTTCTTGCGGTCATTTCGATTTTCTCTCCGGGAGCAACTCTTCCATTGTACCATGCCTTAGTCACCTGGTGCCCTAAAGCCGGCCCTTCACGCTGTATAGGGAAAAGTATTTGTAGATACCATCTACTGAAGGAAGAGAGGAAGGTGAAACACGACTTTGATTGGTGAGAGGAATGGAGGGAGGAGAGGATCTAACTAAGGGTGGGTTTGTGGGTCCCTCGGTGGTGAGTCGGCAGAATCATCCAAACAAGAATGAAAGATCGAGCAGAGTCCTCTTGAAAATTTGACAGCAATGATCCTGACGATGGTGACTATGCGGATAGGAACGATTTCTATAATAGTGATATCGTCGCGTTGCCGCGTCCAACGAAAAAGCCGAGACGAACTGCTGCAACGAGGATCTAACCCGCTCAGACTCGACAGAAAAGCCCCTATCCTATGTTTTCCTCGCCAGCCAGAAGGGGAAATTGCAAATTCATGTCTCAGCACAAGTTTGGAGGACATAAAAACCTTTCTCATCAGACAGTTTCTCACGCGGCAAACATTCCTGTCAAGAGGCATCTACTGATGTACCTTTGAGGAGGATTGGCAACCTTCTTGTCCGCATGGGCCAACAAAGGCTCCCGCGTACGAGGAAAACTAAGAGACAAGACAGGGCACACCACGCAGTCAAGCAACAAACAGCCATCAGCACGAGATATGGTCTGATAAAATCCCAATCATTGATTCTCCTTTCATTGATTATGGTAATAACACTGACCTCGCATAGTGCTTCGGCCGTTCAGATTAATTAACTAAGTCGCACGTAATATCACCAAGGAGCCAAAATGATTTGACTGTTAACCCAACACCTTTACTTGTTGCAGCTGTTTCAGCGTCCCCTGGGCTCAGAAGAGTCCTCGCGCTAGCTTTGAACCAGTTACTGACCCTAGGCTGGGGAACACGAGACCCCATTACAACAGAAACGGTTGGTATTGCCGGGTGTTGTACAAGTACTCGATGTCGCTGGGTCACAACTTCCCTGCAGTCCTTTACTTGATGGCTGTTGAGAACTGGAACAGCAGAAGCAGATAGCAGTAGGAATAACAGTAGCGGTAGTTGTGGTGGTGGTTGTCGTGGTGGTTGTGGCTGTCGTGGTAGTTGTGGCTGTCGTGGTAGTTGTGGCTGTCGTGGTAGATGTGGCTGTCGAAGTAGTTGTGGCTGTCGAAGTAGTTGTGGCTGTCGTGGTAACTGTAGCGGAACAAGTTGTACTGGAGACGGTGGTCGTGGTTGTTGCCGTAGTGGTACAGCTAGTTGTAATTGGTACACAAACGCAGCTTCTGTTCCATATCAGTTTCTCAACGGCTTTGAAATCCCAAGACGATCAATGAGAGACTCACGGCGTAGTCCCTCCGAGGATAAGTCCAAGTAAACTGGCAGATCCACCACCGTTACCGCAGGTACCCGATTGGAATCCCAAATTTTTGCTTCATCGGTCAGCGTGTCACCATTGATACAACGTCTTCGGTCATGCCAGATCTTACCTGGGCATCACAAGTAGCCGGATCGCAAGTACCCGCGCCACCACCAATGCCAACATTGCCATTAATTCCACCGCCATTCCCATTGCCAATTGTATTACCACCGTGGCCAATCTCGCCTCTACCCCCATGCCCACCCCACTTCTCTCGAGGGTCTCCTGTGGAGAGTGCCGTGGCAAGGGCACAGTAAAAGAGGATGAAAACCGAAGAAACCATTTTGTAAAAGCCTTGAATCAAGCAGCGTGGAGCTTCGAAAGAGAGTGTTGCAGCGGTTGACTTGATGCGGGATGGGCTATTTAAGCCTCCGGCTTGTGTCACTTGGATTGTCTAGAGCGAAGCAGACGTGGACATTCCCAAGGTGAAAGTTAACAATGAAATTCTCCACGTTAAAGTTAAGAATGAAGGGCAACAGTTATGTTAAATACTTCAACAATACTGAACGCTCTGCGCATTAATTCTACAGGGCAGATGTCTCTGACATAGTTTCACTCGTGAACTAGAGCTTGTTTGGATGACTCTGCCGACTTACCACCGAGGGACCCACAAACCCACTTATTAAGGTAGATAGCCTCTCTTCCTTTATACCTTTCACACCAATCAAGTTGTGTTTCACCTTCCTCTTTTCCTTCAAGGAGATCGATATCTACAAACAGAGCTGTGTATGCCTGAGTCTTCACCATAACTTAGGCTGCCCGTGGGGATGAAGAATTTTTAAGGAAAGGATCAAGCTTCCAGAGAAATGTCAAGGACACGGACCATCCGTCCTGCTGGCCACTAGCCAGACTCGGTTAGATAGCCACCAATACATGGATCTTCGACCCTGTAAGGACCAGCTAGAAGCGTAGGGACTAGTAAACATAGTGGCGAATGAGGACTACCGGAATCATCAGAAATAAGTAATTGATTGATTGATTGAGTGGCGGGCAGAGGGTCCCAGTCGATAGGATCTGTTTTCAAAGACTGAATCTTGGAGTCTGGTAGACTCAACCACTTTCCAAAATAGGTATATCATCAAGATTCCGCGTCCCGAGCCCCACAGCTCCAAATGGTGCCCCCAGGAATGTTGCCCTGAGACGATGCGGGATCGATTCGACAGTGAATCGTCTCCCCTCACCATGTATAGCCTGCGCCGTGACACCTGAAATTGAGCAAAACACCAGCATCCCCTAGGCGGTGCGCAGGTCGTTTTAGACGAGTTGACGACGCGTTCTGATTAAGTGAGCGGCTCGCTTGGGAATTACCTTATAAAATAATCAGCACTCAGTTTACGAGGGAGGACAAAACTGCGCAACACCCAGGAGGAGTGGGTTGAAACTCAGTCACCTCGTTGACCTACAGATCGAGGATATTCAGTTACAACTTACGAGTGAATGGTTGCAAATGCGCAAGATTTCCGAGCCTGAGCTGGAGTCCAGAAGGCAGCGACTGATCGATGATGGAAATGCGGCTAAGAAAAGAATTATAGCATGGCCGAGATGAACTGGAGTCATTATTCAGAGCAGATTAATCGAACAGCATCGAGTTTTAGACCTTCAATTCATTCCCCGGCTGAATATATTCACCGGATCATAACTTAGAGCCTGCGATTGTACTGTGTAGGTCTGCGCTCGACCCGCCCTAAATAATGCATCTGAAGTTAGATGTTCAGATGGCTGTGATGCCTGGTGTCCAAGTGAGCCGCTCGCTCGCCCGCATTACAACAACCGAAACGCCCATTATTCACCATGGGTCCTCCACCCTTTTCACATGGAGGTCGAACTTGGAAATCTGTAACAGCAAAATCAATGGTGTGAAACCCGCTCTGTAATTCTCAGCTGAATCAGCCCGCGAATACTGCACGCAATATGAAAAGCCCTGGAGCTGTTCTGCAGCCTTTGAACGGCGGTTGGGGTTCTACCACCGCCTCACCCCGGCAAAGAAAAAAGGAACCGCCCTGAGCAATTGGTCTCCCCATTTTTTCGGATGGAATCTTCCTTTACATATGGGCTTGGTGATGGGCAATAAGCCATGAGCAAACTAGCCAAGTTTCAGCGTACGACGACGCCAGAGCATAGTTGCAGTGGGTCTTAGTCTTAACCCACCCTTTTTCTCCCAGAGTTAAGTGTCGGCAAAAATGACAGCCACGGCAGCCCTTGCCTGGAAGGGATGGCATACAACATGCCCTCGCTAGCAAACCTGTCGTTCTTAAATATGACAGGGTCAGTTTAATCCGAGTGTATTGACACCCCTGGTCAAAGCTGTGGAAATCTGGTCAAAGTAGCCGAGCATATGGAGTTGGAGTCAGGTGATATGCGACTGAAATTGTCAGCTTGATCCCGTGCTCTCTGATGCCTCTACCAGGGTATACGTTGCCGAGCATAGCGCCCTCAGGTCAATAACACGCAACATAGGAATACGCCATTCCCCCAGTCGACAAAATCCTGCAATCATATTCAGACTTTATTTATTTCTGGCCGCCAGCTTGTTTATGGCTTTTTTAGTACTTTTGCCGCCTAAACCGCTCTCGCCCTGTTTTCGTCCTTCTTTTGTCCCTTTGTACATGCGCATGGCCTGAGCTGAAGGTGGTAATATTCAGCAGCGATTCCTCTATCGCGTGATAGGAACAGTTAAGGATAATGAGTAATGCGCAGGTAGGCTGAAACATTTGAGTGGATTTGACAAAAGCTGACCTCTCAGCCATCTGGACCGACGCAAAACACACCAATGTGCGCTCAGTATCGAACAACTGACTCTATGGCTTGAAGAAGGTAGTTAGCAATGAGAGGTATCTCACTGAAAACTTCACGATCAAGAGCGTCATCGGATTGGCCAGCACCAAGGCGGAAATGATGCTGCAGACTGTCAGGCGACTTGAGATGCCGAGCAGTATTTATTCTCGTTCTCACCCCCCGCAACCTCCCGTCTCAGCCTAGAGCCTGGCACAACTGCCAGAGATTCTTTCTACAGAGCAGGCCTTGAATCTGAACATCTTTCCATACCAATCTTGATCCCTTTGGCTTCTGGCCTTTCGACCCAGCCACGGGCACCTCATTCGCCAGCATGGGCAACGAGCAATCTATGGAGGAGAATGCCTCTGTCCGGATCGCCAACCAGACCGAAATTCCGCTTGTTTACGTGCTCTCTATGCCCGGGCCTCTCTACTGGGGTGTTCTACAACCCGGCGAGCGAGTTACACGTCAGACGGGACGGGTCTGGTTCACCGTAACCTGCTACCCCTACGACGGCCACAATGAACCCAGCGAAGAACAAAGGATTCTCGGAATCCTCATTCCAACGGCCGCAGCCATTATTTTGGCAGCTACAGGCGGTGCTGCATTCGCAGCGGCCACTCCAGTAGCGGGAACGGCGGCAGCCGCTTTGGCCCCACTAACGACGAGTGCAATGGTGAACGCTGCTGCTGCTGTGGCAGGAGCAGCAGGGACAGTGGGAGGCATAGCACACTCATTGCAGAAGGAATTCGTCGACGCAGCCACGCGGTGCTTGAACAAGGTGGAAAAAACCGGTCACTACGCAAACGGGGATTGGATTCATGTCCGAGGAGGGATCAAGCATAATGAGCCATATTCGGCGTGGAAGCCGATGCGATTCGAGGGCTAAAAGCCCCCAGGTGGGGGAAGGCGACGGTATTCACCATGATACAACAGAGCCTCGATTACCGAGGAGCGTCCTTGGAAACAATCGACGAAATACCCACCAGGTCATGATGGTGCTGGATGCGGATCTGACTGACTTCGTGATTCCCTTATTTTGTGCTAAGCTAGCCTCCAATGTTTTCTTCGTTTTGGACGGAATCCTTCAATCGTAGGAAGTTTCTGTATGGCATCTAAGCACAGTGTCAGAGGGTAGACCTCGCCAGACGCAAGGGCCACCCACCATGGACACGACCCAAAACCTAACACATCCGTTCTAACCTCGCCTGGGCATATAAATTCCGTGGATGCTCTTGCATGCCGCGCTCTGCGGAGGCCTTTCACTCCTTCAGGACATCCTTATCATCCGCTCATTGATAACCCTCAAAAACCACACCATCCAGATGGAATGGAACACTTGGGATGGAATTAGTATAGTCAGACTGCCTGTACGCCATTCACTTGTCGATCTCGAGCAATGTTAGCGCTTCAGAAGGTTGAGGGCGGTCGGGTCGGCTGGGGCGGCTGGGTGAAGATCGGTGAAGATCAGCGGGGCCCCAACGGGCCAGAGGCTGCCAATAAACCATATGCCATGTCCTTTCAAAATACCGCCCTTGGAAGGAAGAATGATGCTAAAGACTTCCGTCACTTGGAAGATTCACCCAGAGACAGGACCGATTCTTTTTCATTCCTTTGACAGAAGGAATTCTAAATGATTTCAGAGAAGATTCTCCGGACTCTCTAAACAGACGGAATTGATGCTCTTCCTTCTCTTTCTTTTCCTCAAGATTGTCGCAGATGGCGTGTCGGCGTAGTATAATTGACTCAATGCTGCTACAGCCCTCCACGCTGTCATCATGTACAGAAACTTCAGATCTAAACGTCCTTTAACCTTATATTCCTCAATTACGGCCCCTTGATTTCAAATTTCGAGAATCCGGATCAAAATATCCTTAGCGCCCAAGAATATAGCCACGGGAACAACGGCAATTTGTTCATAGTCACGGACGTATCCAATGATTTGACATTTCATCATTCGAACCAAGTCCTTTTTGGCACCGGCCCGAAATCCCGCTGGTTCCTGAAAGTATTGTATGATACGATTTACTCCATCCGGCAGCAGATCCAGTTCTAAGGTGATCTGAATTGTCTCCCGGAAGACACTGGAACGAGTCACTGTCCTGATGGTTTGTAGAAGCTCAGAATCGGCAGACCTCGGAGATTGAGTGGGTCTGGCCAGAACCTTATCTTCGGCCTGTGCAGCTAGAATCGTAGGAGTATGGCGTGGCATGAGAAGCGTGACAATCGCGGCTCCAAAGACAATCAGAACGGGCCAGGTGCCGAATGCCAGGATCGTCATGGCGATGAGAAGAAACAGGAGAGGTAGCAACAAAACGAACAAACCGCTAATGAAGATCAAAACCAGGTTTATCAGGAACTGGATTGGATCGTCGGAGAAGGTATTCGATATGCCAACTAGTTCTCTGAGCCAGATTAACGTCCTCATCCAGACCGACTCGCAACCGTGCGAGATACATGGTGACATGATTCGCAGGACCATGTCAGTCACTGAGTATCGTCAAAAATCTCTCCATGACACGACCTCGAATTTGAAGTACGTACGTTGAGATAATGGGGTAGTAATGAGAATGAAAATGGTTGAGCTTATGACATGTCGGTGTAGCCATGTCCCCGGCCGCGTATGATATCGAAGCAGAAGGTATGTGATAACAATCAGAAGCAGCTTTTGAATTGACAGACCCTCGGATTTCTCCATGCTTGTTGCCTTCAGTATTGTATACTGGAGTGTTTGCTTGTGTTCTTATAGTTTCGAATGGCTATACGAACGAAGCTAGTGGCTTAGAACAGAAAAGCATTTATCGTTGCCGATAGGCTAAGAGCCGGTTTCCACCCTATATGTGACATGTCTCCTGAGTCACCTGGCAGGCTCATAGTACATCCACGGAAGGCCAATCAAGACATATGTAGCCTCGTATCAGGGCTAAGACAAAGCCATTAGCATGAAGGCTGGTGCCGCCCGAAACTCAGCCGTGTTGCTCAAGACCCCTCAAGGCTGGCTCGTCTCTTGTTTCTATGCTCTGAATGTGACAAGCATCTGACTGTATAAGAAGCCGACGGAACAATGCCTGGTAATCGTTCGAAAATTCCACGTTCACAAGTACGCTCAGGCTTTCGTGATAGGTACCTCTGATTTATGTCCCGAAAGGGCTTTGCTGACAGGGACTTCAGTGGTTGCTAGGAATGATTGGGGGTGTTTAGATTAAACATTTTGAATACCTGATACAAAAAGATCTTCCCTCCTAGATTATGAATCAACTTCCTATCGAACCATCCCGTCCTTCTGCCAGCCTTGCTCTTCTCCTCTTCTTTCCGTCGCAAATCTCATAGAGGATAGAGACAGGAGGCTTTCAAAGTGCAAATGGCCCAAATTTGAATTAGATACGTCATAGGAATGACCTATACAGCTATGGAAACAGACTGGATTGACCAGCCAGCCAAAGCTCCAGAAACAAAAGTGGAAAGCAATGATGAGATGAAAACAGTGTGGATTTTCGTGTACTAAACCACGTACTGAACATTGAGGGGGTTGAAATACCGTGGAAAGTACCTGTGACTCGAAGATTACCTACATATTCGGGGTGGGAAGAGCAAATATACGCGGAAAACAGAGAGGGTGGTACTGTGGGATTGCAGATCTCAGGTTGTCACGGAAGTACATACAGAGTCACTAAAATGCGCATTTCCAGGTCTACTGACAATATTCTTTAGTGACGCTCAAAAAGTCCCCTACAGGGTCCCAGCGGTTAAAAAGATCCTTCGGAATCGTGTTTCCGTTTGTTTAAATGGGGTAGCATCTGGACTGAAAAGCCCAAACCCGCTGTTTAGTGATGTTGGAGGCGTCTTTTCAGCGGGGATGAATGTGACTGTACAAAGGCGGCTGCCCGCACCGGAAACGCCAAGAACATTGATCGGCCAACAAAATTCGAAAAGGTATTCTCTGCCTATCGTGAAGGAAAGGTAATTCAGGCTTTCAAAAATGCCTCGGCGGATTAGAAGTAATTTCAAGCGGAGGTCTGAGCGTAGAGGGGTCTCGTCTGCATGAAAAATCGAGGGAAAGATGTGCCGATTGGCAACTAGATACAACACGTTCCATCATTTTGGGATTCTCGGCCGGTGGTTTCAGCGACGAGTCTAGCAGTGTTTTGCTTTTTCTCTCGCCCTATGTCTCCCATCATGATACCTAGGGACTGAATGAGTCAAATTGTAGTTAATTGCTAAAAAAAAAGCACTCCACGTGCACAATATGGCTCAATTGAAGACTCCAGGCCGGTGAGAGGTGGATCGTGGACGCAACTCTATAGAAACAACAGTCAGACCCGCTTTCTAGTTCCCAAACCACAACTTTTCCCTTCAACATCTTTTCAGCTTGAACATTTCCGGCAATCACTTGATTACCCATTGTCTGTGCATCATGCCGTCATTTTCGACGTTGTCCAGGTGTATCTGTTTGAGTGAGAATGCCATGCTACAGGCGAGCTGCCAAAATGACCATGGGCTTTGGGAACAGCAGTCATTCAATCTCAATGACATATTAGGAAATGAAGAAGGCTACTTCAAGCTAGGAAGTCAAGCTTTCTCCAGATCGGCACGCCGTATCTGCCTTCTCTCCTCATCACCCCCAATTTTGAAGGCAGAACTACGCACGAGCAATGGAACTTGGCGCGAGGATTCCGTCAACCTTGACCACTTCATTGCGGTTCATCATGGTAGACTTGCTTTCAAAAACGCGTAGGTGGCTTTCTAGGGTAATGTGGATGACTAGAGACTGAAACTACGTTCCCACCCAGGCGATCCGCCCCTAACTTCCTGCTCGAGCTCGGCAAGCAGAGAGGTACTTTCCTTGACAATGTACGAGCCAAGATTGAGAGCTACGTCGAAGAGACCGGCGTAGACTGTTTGGCGGTGATTGAGAAGAAGCCCGAATCCGTTGATGAGACACACGAGCCAGGCGATCTTGAATTCGCCCCAGCATTCTTTTTCTTCCTGATTGAGAGAAGATATCGTGGGCATGAATGCGAGTCTGCACTTATACAACCAATCATTGACATCATATCAAATAGCTTTTCGGAGCTCATGTCTGCCAATTCTGAAAAGCTTCAACTGTACCTTGGAGAACAGGTCATTCAAAGCTTTGCCAACTTCTCTCGCTCTGAAATTAGGAAAGGATGCATCAAGAATACGACAGACTTGGTGAACAAAGTCATCATGAAGACCATGTTGTTAAAAGCAAAATTCAGCGTACTGAAGCCGCTTGTCAAGACTCAACTCCAGGGGGGCTTGAAGTCGCTGATCAGCAAGACGATCATTAAAAGTCTCCTGAAGGCCGCAGGCATCGGGAAGCTATCACTCCTGAAGGGAGCTTTTACCACTTTGTTTGCAGGGTATATCATCTACAAAATCACCAAGTTCCCAAGAGACTTGGGAAAGAGTCTGAGCGCTGGCCTTAATGCCATGCTCGAAGACAATCTTGAGGCTATGACTCAATCGCTCTTTAAAACCGTCCAAAGCGAGGTGGTCGATATGTGCAAAGGAAAGGTCACCGAGCACTTTGGCGAAGCCCTCAAAGAAGAGTTCAAGGAAGAGTTCAAAGAGGCAATCAAGGAACGCTGGAAACAGACTTGAGCAAGGCGATTTGATACGCGAAGGTTGTGTTGGTACGAAGTCTTAGTGATCCTATATCACATGGCTTCCTTCCCTTCTCCTCTCCACAGATCTCTCTCTCTGTTTTTCTCTTCTCTCTTTCCGTAGCATGCAATAAATTCGCATCTCGCTGCCATTCTCTTCCCCCATGTCTTTTCACAGGTTATGAGGCCCTCTGTTATAGCGTACGAGCGCTGTCTACCCAGGGGAAGAAGGCGACAGGTCGAGGACGCGTAATGTCTACCAAAAGAGGAAACAACGAAGCTGCAAAGGTAGCTAAGTAGGGTGAAATATCGAGGATTCACGAAGAGAGGAAGTAGGAGAGGGTAGAGAACTCTGCTCTGAGAGAGGCTGGCCAACCGCAGGCCTCAAAGGCCAGGTGGTATCGCCAACACACCCCCTCCATCGTCTCGAGCCGCAGCACTGAGACCAACAATGTACGAAACGGGAAAGCATGAAGCTATTTAGAGACACGCCACGCAATTTTGATCTAGCCAATCAAATGCCACGAAGAATTCTTCTTCAAATGTATTCCTTTGGGCTTTGCAGATCTAGCAAATCGTCCCGGTCAGCTGTGAAATCTCTGACGTGCTTGGCGTTGGTGAACACGTCGGCCGGGTTGTGCTCGCTCTTGATCAAGTGTAACTTGACCAGGTTCTTTCGCATGGCATCAAGTACGAAATTGTATCGATGCATTAGTCAGCGTTTGCTGGGGCAAGACTGCGTTTGTGTACCTTGAGAAAAGCGTTGTTGCTGTCTTCAAGGGCAAAGGCTCGTTGTTTAAGTAGTCACCATCTTGATTTGACGGCTGCATGAGGCCCAGGCCAGTGGCCAACTTGGCCGGATAGAGTCCTTCACGCACAGCAGTGTCCATTGATCAATATTCAGCCACAGTGCTTGATTTAGCCGCGATCTCTTGCGACGGGATGTCCAGGAGACGGGAGCACCACCACAGAACCACACGTAGCCCTCAGTTGACTTGTTGTCTTCTGTATCAGCAATGAATGCATCAAGGAAGCCAACAAGGCCTTCCTAGGTACGGCCAAAAAGAATGTCCAAGGTAGCCGTGCCATGAAAGTACAGAATCATGTCACGAAGCACGTCGAAATCGCCTTTGCGTGGATTACGTTGACGTCGACGCGGCTCGTTGACGACCAGGGCGATGTTAGGCCTTATTTTGTGGCCTATCCGGCCACAGCGGTCATTTTCTTCAACGTACGAGATTTCTATGTTATTCTAGCCTTTATGGCTGTTACCATTCTCATCGTGGCTATTACCATTCCCATAATGACTATAGGATTGGTCATCATGGTCATCTAGTGGTGTCGATATGCTCCACTCAGGATGACCCTCGGGGATCTTCCAACCAGAATTCAAGGGGGTATCCTTTTTTTGTCTTTGCCATGCATAGACTGTCAATGATGTTTCGGATTGAGGCTTGTCGATTCATCAGAGCCCTTCTGTTAGGCTGTATGAACAGTCGCAGCCAAGGACTCTCTCGAATCGCATATCCTTGATACCAAGTAGCTGAGCTATTGAGTCGCGAAACTGTTTTCAATAGCTTTTGTACAGTTCTGGGCCGATGATATCGTCGATATAAATCATGACATATGTTCTGCAATACGTGACGATACAGGCGTCCGATTCACACGGTTGGAAGCCAAGCTTTCGCAGATTGCTTGTGAAGCGCTCGTGCCATAAGCAGGCTGCTTGGTGTAGGCCATATTAGGCTTGACAGATCTGCCACGAGCTCTTCGCCATTCGGTCCGTATTTCTCGTGGCTACTTGGTTGGCGCATGAGGAGGATGCGGCCATCGATCGCTGCGTTGAGATACGCCATGATCACGTCCCACTGCATCAACACCGGCCATGTCAGAATGGCAGCCATGGACAAGAACATCTTCATGGCTTGACCAACGCACCAGGTGCATATTTTCCGTCTTGGTGAAAAACAACACCAGGCTTCTGCCTGTTGCCAGATACGACCCAATGAGCTCTGATTCGGTGACCAGGCCGTCATTATCTTTCCTCACGGCATACACCCACTTCCCTGGTAGCTCGATAGCTCTAGGTGGTGGAGCCGGGACGGCTTGAAGGGCCTTTTTGACAGTATAGACCTTGTCAACTCGATTTCGTTCGGCCTCCAACCATTCATCCTTGTGCGGTGACTGCATAGTCCCCTCGTGGCTGCGTGGGATGACAAGAAAGGATGCTTTGATAGCTTTAAATGACACGAAGCAAATGCTTTCAGCATTATCCTCACCATCGAGAGTGTGGGATCGTCGATCAACACGGCGGAAGATCTCGTTTTCTGTTGACTTCGAGTATCTTCCTTTCACACTACGCTCTCATATCTCGTCGACTGATGCTGTGCCTTTGTGGCCCTCGAGAACTTCCGCAACTCTGCCTGTGTGTCCTTTTCATTTCCTTGTGTGACTGTCGATGGCGGTAAGATGACCGGTGAAACCGAGAGAATCAGTTGAGCAACGGCTTGTGCATCATCTGTCCGTGTGAGTCGCCCTTGAGTGGGTGGGTTCGAGGTAAGATAAAGCGTCGAAGCTATTTTCGAAGGCATCGAGTTAGGCACATACGTCATATCAGCTATAGAAGAACGATCAAAGGGATCTGTTTTCATTGGTGACCTAAGCACCCCCTGAGGGCGTAGGTCTACCGGCCGAAAGGTCACAGCGAGACGCCACTGTTGTGGAAGATCTGTGAATTCGAAGAGGTTTTGCCCTTGATGCCGAAAGTGCATCAAACTGTACCGGGTCAGGCGTGGATGAAACTGTAAGCCGTGATGAAGCTGTAGGCGGTGACGCGGGTGAAGTCGATTTTTCGATGAAGGGAATATGCACACCACGATGCTAAAAGTCCGTAGGTGTGTTCCTCGTGGAGCTACCGACGCTATCGCAGTTATAGTGGCCGCCATCGTCGATTCGGGATGTGGCCGATGGATCAAAAGACGTCCTACATTGGCTGTTGAACTGGTTGTAGAGGCCGCTGATCCGGTGGCCGTTGAGGTGATTGTGTAAATGACGACGCTAGTGGCCGCTGAGGGTGCTGCATAGGTAAGGTTGGTGGCTGTTGAGTCCCTTGTTGTCGAACAATCTCAGGTGCAATCTCTTGGGCCAACTGCACTGGTGTCGGCCAAGTCCTTTGAGGTACCGATTTGCACACTTGATAAGCCTCGAATGACTGTGAAATAGGGTATCTTCCTTCCAGAATGTCGCATCTCGTCGTCAAATAATCTTTTTTTATAGGATCGTAGATGCGGTAGATATGGCTGTGTTCCACCTCATAGTCACTTTGGCAGCCAATATACGGCCGTTGCGCCATATCATCAGCTTTTACACGCTTCTCCTTGGGAATATACACGTACAATTTTGAATACCAGGCCCGCAGATGACAGCGGTCACTGACATCATGGACTGCCGTTTCGGTTGATCTACTTATTTGACGACTCAGTATATTACCTAACAGTCAAAATGCCATTTCTGAGGCGTCTTCTCATATGATAAGCCAGATAGTGTACAGATTTAAGTTAGCCTTTTATTTGACAATGATCGGATGATCCATGAGCCCTGTGACTGTCGCATCGACTGCCCGATGAGTCGAGCCTCACCGGGTGATAAGAAGGACTGGATATATAAGGACACTTATTTAGCAGAATGTATTTAGTTCTTCGCGATCAGTTAATCCCGTCTAAGTGACTAGAACAGTACCTTACCTATTGCACATTGTTACTTGTTTACTACCTACCTTGAGCACTTCAAGAGGACCCAACCTGCAGGTAGAGGATTCACTCAGTGGTAACACTTAGTGATTAAGCTACTTGGCGGTGAATTAAACGACTTATTACTGACGCTGCTGGCACTGGATTCGAAAGACCTGGAGGGCTAGGTCCTTTAAAGAAAGGGGCAATGTTGCGAATATGGCAGAGCTGGACAATCTCAGGATGAGAGGAAGGACATGGGAGGACAGGATGTGGCCACGCCTACCACGTGTGCCACGCGTACTGCCACGCGTACCACCTCAAAACTTGGGATGTTACTGTAGCTTCTTCTTCTTTCTCTTTCTTCTCTCCAGCTCTTGAGATTCTCGGTACCACGCAGTCAAGTTGAATGAAAGTTTACGAGTCCTTCTAAAGCTTTTCCATTCCGGCGTACAACAAGGCAGGCGGATCGGCGAATGAGGCAGATTTACCACGTAGGAGGGCTCCGCAGAAATGCAGTGGGTGTGGGGAGTGAGGCCATAAGTTTACTCGATGTAATAAGCGCTAATTTGAGATGAATTGATATCTTTTTGGCTGAGCTATCTTAACTCGAAACTTAGTGGTTGGAGTGGGTGGCTGGGTTAACCGTGTGGCCGAGATAGCCGTGAATTACGTTAGTACAGAGCAAGGGCACAATATCACTCGATTGTGAGTGTTGAGGGTATCCACACATACCAGAGATGATGACTAAGTCACTAGGGCGGCGAATCCCACAAATATACTTCCTTGGGGCCGTAAAGATTCGGGTGAACGATATCCTACTCATGGCATAGGCGAATATCTCTCGTCCTTACGGAGTCGAACATTTGGTTTTACAGATGATTGAAGGATTCGCCTTGAGAAGATTCAAGGTCTGTTTTGATGCCCTTTGGATAATGAGTGGGACTAAGGAGAACCACGTGCCGCAATAGGCTAGCGACGAAGTGAGTCAAACTAAAAGCGAACTTTGATCAGGTGAGAGCAATCTCCGGAAATCGGAAAATATTTGACTGAGGATCTTACGAAGGAAAACCCTGGAAGGTGAAAACACTCGACGTTGACTAGGAGAGGAGGAAGAAGGAAGCTAAGCTAGACTACTAAGGTTGGTGGTCCCAGGTGGTGAGGGCGTAGCCCATGTGTGTGCCAGGCAGCATGGCAGGCCTCACCACAAACAGAAAAGTGGGTCAATGATTACGCGTCGGGAGCCAAGCAAAGCTTAAATTGCGCCAGCAACTTACTGTAATGAGGGACTATCATAGGAAATGACTCGTTCGAGATTTTCGACAACAGAGAGAAAATACAGGATACTGGCTGGAACCGTAATGTTCGATACGACAACGAAACTCTGCAGAACAATGACGGCAGGTCCTAGTCTTCGAAAGGGTGTTAAGGCAGCCGTCAATACTCTTAATCGCCCCATCCCTCGCGATAACCTTTTTGTTTTCGTGCTTCCGACAAATTGCCTATTCTTTAATCTCTCCTTTTTTTTTCTTGCCCTCTTCATTCTCTTCTTCCTTCTGGTCTCTTCCTTGTGGTTCTCTGCGTGGTGGCTGTCTACGATTTCCTTCCATCGCGAATACTCGCCCTCAAGCCATGATGCTGGGATGGTTGACGCGCTGCCTGCCGGGGTTTAGCATCATTGGCCTGGCAATCCTGTTGCTGTGTGCTTTCTCCGACATCTGCAAATCCTCCATCTGGAATAGCTTCTTCCCTCCAAATCCAGTTCATCCTAGCAAACCACCGCCACAAGATGGGTTCTGGAGCGGGCTTAACTTGGCACAGGCCATCTTCATCATCTACGCAGTGCTCATCCACTGCCACATGCTCGGCTTCACGCTGCGCCTGGGTTGGTCCATCTTTAGCGCAACCACCAGCGCAAAGCAGGCCCTCAACCGGCGCATCTGCCGCAGCCCTATCCAGTCACCACAGATGACCGGCGAGGAGCCGATTGAGCAGCCTCTATCCCCGATCTCGCTGGCGTCCGACTCGTCGATCTCCAAAAAGTTTGATGACGCTAATATTACCGTGAACGAGTCCCAGGAGGAGGAGCTGATTCATGCGATCATTATTCCCAATTACTGCGAGGACCTGCACACTCTAGAGACCACCCTCAAGGTACTGGCTAGCCACCCGCGTGCCAAAAGACACTATGAGGTAGGTTCCATAGCTAGGGGATGATCCGGGACATGATCCGAACAATGTGTGAGCCTAGACACTAACCCGAAGTAGATTTACCTGGCTATGGAACAGAAAGAGGCTACCGCTACCGACAAAGCATCCCATTTGGTTTCCATGTTCGAAAAGTCTTTCCTGCACATTCGATCTACCTTCCATCCGCCCGGTATCCCGGGCGAAATTGCGGGCAAGAGCTCTAATGTGGCCTGTGCTGCGCGCTCCATTATCGAGATTCATCGCCCGGAGCTGAAGATGGACTGTTGCAATGTCGTGGTGACGGTTATGGATGGTAAGTTTGCGCACTACCTTCATAGAAGGACCCTTTGCTGACCCAACTCTTTCTAGCGGACACTCACCTCTCGCGCGACTACTTTACTGAAATCCGCCGACTGCACTACTCACACATCACCGAGGGTAACCGGACCATTTACTGCTGCCCCATCATCTTTGACCGTAACTCTCACGAGAGCCCTGCTCTCGTCCGATGCGCCGATCTGCTCTGGGCCTTCGCCGGCTTATCCACAATGTACCCAGGCACCTGGATCTCCATTCCCACCTCCGTGTACTCCCTCCCACTCTCCATGGCCGAGAAGGTCGGTGGATGGGACGCAGACCCGACGGCGATCGGCGAGGATATGCACATGCTGCTCAAGTGCTACTTTGAGACGGCAGGCAATGTGATCTCGCGCGTGATCCACGTTCCCGCCAGCCAGTGTAATGTCTCCGCTGACAGTGGTCGTGGTTGGCGCCGTACAGTGGACACCCTCTTCGCCCGGTACCGTCAGGCCCTGCGACACATGTGGGGAGCTCTGGACTCGGGTTTCGCAGCGCGTCGCACAGTGAGCTACCTCCGCTTCAACCAGCGGTGTCTCTTCCTGCGCCCTCGGCACTTTGCCCTCCTCGAGCTCCTCTGGGAAGCGCACTTCATGCCCTGCCATCTGACCATCATCATGTTATTCTCCGTCATATATTCCGCTTGTATGCCAGCATCACAGCTACACCCCTCGCTTGCCTGGGCCTTCTCCTTCACCGACCTCCTCCGCGCGCTGTCTTTCATCGGAATGAACATCTGTCTGAGTCTATACGAGCGCTGGCACACACTCTGCCTCAACACTCGGATGCAAGACATGCGCGAGGCTAATCTCCCCGACACCGGCTGCTCACAGCGCATCTGGTACCAACCAAAGTACCTACTGGATCGAGTCTGCTTCCCTGTCGCGGGTACACTCTTTGGCGCCGTGCCCACCCTGCATGCCGTCTTTGCGCACTTCTGGACAGACCGGCTAGTCTACCGCGTCAGCAAGAAGCCAACCTTTAAACAAGATGCAGCGGGCCTGGCATAAATGGCTCTCTCCAGGGCGAGAAGGAAGAGAAAGAGAAGAACTAATGGTCTCCATGGAAGGACCCACCGCTCTCGTTGATCACCTTCCCACTTCCTCAACGGAACTGATGGGCATGGAACGCTCTTTTCCACCCCCGGATCTCCCCAAGGGTGACCAGCAAAGTAGACATGGCCGACTTGGACATCTGTATGGTCCGCTGAATGGTTGGGGCGCCGTTGACCGACTCCGTCTTACAGAAGATATACCAATCAGACTTGTTCGGTTCTAAAGGCACCAGGAGCTGCTCACAGCTTTTGCTGATGAATAATTTCCGTAGCTGAGCCTTCGAGGTGAGCCTCGAATTACGGAATGCGCGCGCATGGAACAGGATGCCGAAAAGCAATGTATGCGGGCATATCACCAGAGAGGGCCCGTAAATGATCTCGGGAAGTGCAAACGTGGTTCTGCTGATTAGTTAGCTGCATGACCTGAGTTAACATGCCGAAAAACTCCGAGAAGAGTCTCAAGAAATATTAGGCATAGACAGGGGCGAGGAGAGGTAAGAAATTATGGCCGACGTATAGTTTGGTCAACCCAAGGAACTTTTTGGTTCCCTCGGCTGTAAGTTCAATCATAGGAACGGGGGGCCCTCCACGAGGATCCTTCTGAAGCGAGATCTGCAGGTCCTTGAATTGCAGACTCAATAAGGCGTTCCTCCGGTGCACGGTGAAAAAAGCGAGGGAGTTAAATAGGCACACCTAGATGCGCTGGAATCCTAGGTGGAATTTGTTGCGAATATGGCAGAGCTAGACAATCTCAGGATGAGAGGAAGGACATAGGAGGACAGGATGTGGCCACGCCTACCACGTGTGCTACGCGCACCACGCGCACCACCTCAAAACTTGGGATGTTACTATAGCTTCTTCTTCTTTCTCTTTCTTCTCTCCAGCTCTTGATATCCTCGATACCACGTAGTCAAGTTGAATGAAAGTTTATGAGTCCTTCTAAAGCTTTTCAATCCGGCGTACAACAGAATTTCTTCTCCTGCGTCGACAAAATGGTTTTGTTAAACGGCCCTATATCCTCGATACATAACGGCGTCTTCTTTCCTGGTTGTGTGTCTAACCTATTCTCTTAGACCAAGTACTTTATACCCTGTAAATCAGCGATTAGGCGAGATGATTAACTAGATCTAAAAAGAATTCAGGTTTACATTACTGACCCTCCGTATATCTGAGCTATCCTTATCGTTGATTTTGATCTTGGTAAGCTTTTGGTAGTAGCCGCGGAGGTTTTTCTACTCCGTATTTGACGAGCTAGCTTTGTGTCTGCTCTTTCTTCCAGGGACCCAAAAACCGCTAGCGGACCTCATCGGTTGAAAGTCAGGTTCAAAAAAAGTAACTCTTTCCCCGAGGGCCAGAGCGGTATATCTAGCCTCGACCCTAGTGTCGGCATCGGCACAGACTATGACTCGGGTCAGCCGTCTACACTCGGTGTAGATCACTATTCGTAATCATCAAGAAGACAGCGTACCTGACACTAAGAGCTTGCCGACACACTGCTCGTATTCTTTCTTCAGCATACCGCCTATGTCAGGCTTGCCATAAAAGATTGCTCCGCGGCGGCCAATCTTCAGTCGCTCTCCCTCAACTGCCTCTGGGGCCGATGTTTGTGTAATGATCAATGAGTAGCTCAGTATCTGAACATAGATGTTAGTTTCACTTGATCACGTCCAATATCTAGTAACCTCAATGCGTACCATGTTCTTTAAATCCGAGTCCAGAAGCTCATCCATCCATTCACATATCCAATTTTCATGATCTGTAATTCATTAGAAGGGAACCAAAGTGAGCCTGGGACACCTACACTCATCATCAAGCTACAAAATCAGCGAGACTCTTCTCTTTAGTAGGTTCTGCGTTTTCGCCAAAATCAGTTCTCGAGCGTATGGCATCTGCGCGGTCACTCCAATCCCAGTAGACATCAGAATAACGCTGTCGTATGTATTTGTGTCGACCGTCTTTCCATATGGACCATCTATCAAAACTCGCAGATGGGGATACGGTGTCGTGAACAGAGAGAGCTCGGGAAAACCCAGACTCCACTTTAATCAGAACGAAGAGTCTCATATCTCCATTTGATGTAGGTTCCCACCAAGTAATATGGTAAGGGTGTGATTCAAGGAATGATAGAGTTCGAAGGCCTGGAATCCGCAGAGAGAGGTAATGACCCGGTTGGACATTCCACGACCGGGGTGAAATAAAAGACAATTGAACGGCATCTTACCTTTTCACAACTTCCACTATGGCAGTTAGTCGATGCGTAGCGAAATTTCGATAAACGTGACGCGTTACTTATGCGGCCATTGTTACTGGTAAAATCCCAATAGTAGTAATTAACAATATACCGTTGATTAAGCTTTTCCGATCGAGGTAAATCCAAGGAGCGACGATGGCTAATATACCGACTAGTATATATAGCTTCATGCTAAGCTCGTATAAATATCGAAGCACCTAAGGTGACGCTACTAGCTGTCCTAGGACCAAAGTGGTCTTAGGACTGAAAATGTGCCTCGTCAGAGGCCACGACAACATTCTAAATCCTATACGCCGAGCTCGCATCGTAGCCAGCATCGTAGCCAGCATCGCAGCCAGCATCGCAGCCAGTATCGTAGGCTGTAGCTAGTAGTATCAACTGGTAGCTAGATCCGTCGAGTCTAGCCAATTACGGGCTAGCGTCGCGGCCGTAAAAGCTAGGTTGATGGATCGTAAGTCATATGATTTGTACTTCGCAGACCGCTATGGCAGAACGCCTCTCCCCCTAGGGAAAAAAAGAATACTATTATATGTGGCCCCCCCCCCCCCCCCCCTAAGCGTATATCCCAAAGAAGTTAGCCTAAACTACTGTTGTAGTGTCTCTGACGAGACACAATTAAAATCACGAAGACCACATAAGCCACATCTTGCAGTATTGCTATCAGTACAAATATCGAGTGAAGATGACGGTATAATCTCCGAGAAATCCCGACCATAAAAGAGCCAAAAGTCATATTCCATGATAGAGTCAACGGAAGTAGATATAGAACTACAAGCGAGCCAGCACGGTAGCTAGCGGTTTGTAGATCCTTCACTCTAATAATGTTGCAAGTCAAGGTACCTGTTATGAACATGGTAGGACTAAGCAGACTCAGGAGGAGGGAGAGGATAGAACGTAGGAGGATAGGAGACACGTATGCCACGCCTACCACGTATGCCACGTATATAACACGTACTATCTCAAAACCTAGGATGAACTATAGTCTCTTCTCTTTTCTTTTTCTTCTCTTTAGCCTTTAAGATTCTTAATATTATATAGCTAAGTTATATAAAAGTTTCTAAGTCCTTCTAAAGCTTTTTGTTAAGGTAGCTGGACTTGATCGTCAGGGAAGAGATAGCTCGCAGCAGTCAGATTGGTACAAAGACTAATTCTTAGGGATCCCTACCGGTCCCTTCTCTGGTGCCTATCTTATAGTCCTCCCTCTCCATACTCTCGAGGGGATTGCTCTTGACTCCCTCTTCTATCGATCGATCGATCGATCGGCTGCCCGAAGAGGTGGGACGGAGCTACCATGGAGGTTACGATCCTTCGGGTTAGAACATACAGGATAATGGGGGGCTCCGAGGCCAGGCAGGAGGGCCCGGGAGCCTGGCTGCCTGGAAGCTGCGGGAGGGCCTTACTCCTGACCATCACGTGGCCAGGCCGGGATCGTGGGTTGCGGATCACCTGATGATCACTGGGCTGCGGATCACCTGATGATCACTGGGCTGCGGATCACTTGACGGGGTACTTCAACAAAGGGAGTCCCCTTACACTTTTAGTTTTATATAGATTATCTTAGTTCCTCTCTTTACTTAGCTTTTTATTAAGTATTGGTGGCTACTAGGAAACGTAGCAGACCTAAAAAGAGGGGAGAAAGGAATGGTGAGATTGTATCTGGTGAGAGGTACCTATCTAAGCTACGAAGGTGGTGTGCGTGGGCGCGCACCACGCTAGTGAGACGCGCTAAACTACTAAGCTATCTCAACACCCCCCTAGACCTCGATCCACTAATCTCACTCAAAACACGAAAAACATGAAAAGTGATTATATAAATATATTAATAACGCCTTAATGCAGCTTTTTGAGCTTAAAAAGGTATTTAAACCCTTAGAATTAAGCTCGCTATAAAGGCTGTTGAAAAACCGTTAAATAGCCGTTGAATTAGAGCTTTTTTATACCTAAAAGATATAGAAACCTCTCGAATTAGACTTACTATAGCGGCTTAGTAAAGCTATCTACGGCCTACTCTGTAGTAGAGATTTTGACGAATTTATATACCCCCCTAGAGACTTAGTCTCTAATATAATAGTATTTAACGTTAATATACTTCGTTCGTTAGTATAAATCATAGCTTTTAGTAAGGTAAATAGCGCCTTAGTTATCCTCGTAGATTATAGTAGGAAGTTACAAAAGGGACTCTATATTAAGTTCCTTAAGGAAAAGCTATAGCTATAATACCTCTTAGATAGCTAAAGATATAGCTATATACTCGCTTTCTGTAGAGGAAAGAGTAACGTATATTTACTTTTTATAAGCCTAAGTAATTATACTATTCGTAAGCTTGAAAAGGAAGCCGGAGGTTAATATACTACTATCCGTATATTTACCGGCCTAATCTATATTAACGAATCTAAAGAGGGGGTCTAGTAAGTAAGAATACGCGATAGTAAGCGTTTCAGAATCCTTAAGATATCGAAAGATACGCTTTAATATAGTTATATACTTCGCGGAGGGGTTATATATATATCTTATAAGCTTTATAACTATAAATATAATATCTAGTCGCGTATTAACTATTAGCTAAATAAGTGAGCCTACTATCTTACGGTAAGCTTTAACTTCGGCCGGAGTAGTAGTATACTTACGCGGTTATAGGATCTCCTTATTATAAAATAGCGTAGGGACTACGTATATATCTTATAGGTTGAATTTAGCGAGGACTT